CAAGCGCGTAAAGGAAGGGAGGCGATTTGCTGACCTAAGATACCCCGGGCCAAGACCAACATCGGCCCCCCCAAAACCGTCGATCTTATACCTTAAGACCGATAACTCAAAACCGTAATCGACGCAGCGAGTAGAAGTATCCCCGCTGCTGTCAAACGTGCCGCTGTCTACTCAGACAGTCCAAGAAACCAGCCCAAGCGTCGCTTCCGAGATCACCCGAAGAGCGAATCGGCCCACCGACGGGTACACAAGGTGAGCATTACAATTTTACGGAAGATCGGAGTACCCCCTCCGTTAGTCGGCAGTTCGGGCGCAGTGTGCAAGAGGATCTCTGTGATCAGCAATTTTCGCAGAACCACTTCGCCACAAAACTCCTCCGGTGCAATATGTGCACAGCAAGCGTTACATTAAGAAAGTGATGTTCCTTTGCGCCGTGACTCGTCCTCGAGGGGACTGGGATAGCAAGATCGGCCTTTGGCCCATTGTGGAAACTTACGTCACGCAGCGAGCAAGTTGTAACCGCGCGGCTGGAGTTGAAGAGCTCCGTTCTGTGGCAATCTCTCGCGAGGTATCGCGCCAATTGCTGCTCGAAAAGGTTATACCAGCAATTAAGGCGAAGTGGCCGCAAGAAAAAAAGGCCGTTCTAATCAAGTTGCAGCAAGATAACGCTCGGACGCATGTCGATGAAAACGATCCCATCGTCCTGGCTGTGGGATGTAATCAAGATTGGGTCATCAAGCTCCGCAACCAGCCGGCATAAAGCCCTGATCTAAACTGCCTCGACTTAGGCTTCTTTTCCAGCATCCAGTCTCTACAGTTGCGCACGAGGTTGGGAACAACAGAAGATCTCATTGCTGAAGTAACACAGGCCTTTGAAGCTATGACTACCGACACTCCGAACAAAACCTTCCTGACCCTGCAAATGGTAATGACGCAGATCATGAATCATGGCGGCCGAAACGACTTTCGCCTTGGTCACATGCATAAGGACAAGCTGACCAATGCCGGCACGCTACCAATCAGCCTACCTTGTGATAGCCAGACGCTCGTTAGCGCCCACTTCGACATGGATAGACTATCCGCGCTGGATACTCCTTCACCGCCTGCACAACCACTTCTTGTTCCTCCGCTGCACGACGAAATGCCTCCACCCTCGCCCTCTGAGCTAGATCCTTTTCTTTTCTTGTAGCCGTCGTGTCGGTACCTTTGCATATCTAATAGCCGCCAAAAACAACGAGGCGGAGCTATGCGCAATTTTTTTTTAAAAGGTGCAGTATTTTCCGCACAGAGGTAGTACGTTTGTTGCTCAGTTCATACCACCTTTCCCACAGCGGTTGTTCGTCCTGCCGAGTCGAGTACATACTTCCGTTTCTGCGTCGCAACTTTCGCCACATAGGTGCCCTAGACAACCAAATTCGAATTTATCCCTACTCATAAATTCGCTTTTAAGAACCCATAAAATTTCTTAGGTCACGACGATTTACGTGTGTCAAATCGTGTGTTCTCTGGGTTTTTTGGATCGCATACTCATAATTGTAGAAGGTGTCATTGAGTCTTAAGAAGATGGCAAGCACGGATGCTGACGATTCGATGCCTCGCGCCAAGCGATTGAAGATGCTGCGCGAGGCCAAAGCCCGCAAAGAGAGGGGCGAGAGCAATGGTGAAACCGGTGCGCTGGTCGCTGCGGTACTACGACCTGCAGACGACGAACCGAAGCGACTGGAGGATGCCCCGCATCTGGAGGATCAGGAGGAGGACGTGAAAATGGCCAACGCCTCCGAAAAGTCCGACGGCAAGTCAGCAGACCTGGTGGAGAAGGTGGCGCAGGTGCAAGAGGAGGATGCCAAGACGGAAGATGAGAGCGACGACGATTTGCTTAACCTGGCGCCCAAGCGCGCCAACTGGGACATGGAGCGGGATATTGCGCCCATGCTTCGCAAGCTGGAGCGGCGGACGCAGCACGCCATCGTCGAGATTCTGCGTACGTTGAAGTATTCATATCTAGTTGCTGTGCGGATCTAATTCATGTATATAATACTTTCAGGCGAGAAGCTTGCAGCAGAGCAACAAGAAGAAGGTAGTGACGACGACGAAGATGAAGAGGATGAGGACAACGAGGAGGTAGATGAATAGCAATATTGCCAAGTGCAATCCATGTACTATGATATAGCGCTGCAGTCCTTCAACACCGAAGCGGTGCACAGCACGTGACTAAGACTTATCCTTTTTCTGCTTTTTGGCCTTCTTCTTGTCGTCCTTGGATCCGTCCTTACGCTTCTTATCTTTCTTCTTGCCGCTCTTATCCTTCTTTTTGTCTTTCTTCTCGTCCTCCTTGTGGAACTGCTTGAGCTTCTTGTAGATTTGCTTAATTTGTTTGGCATGACGTTGCGCCGCCTCCTCGCCACCCTTTTGCTTCTCCATTTTCAACACTTGGAACGCCTGAGTAATCCTCTGCAACCGATCGGGTACTTCGTCCACAGGCTGGTCCTTTGAGAATTTGCTGCGTTTAATGTAGTCCAATACATCGGCGCTCGCCAGCCCACAAGCCTTTTCGCCGCTACTGGCAGCAACCTCGTCCGTCACATGCCACAACGCTGCAAGCGCCAAATACGACGGGTAGTGCAGCAGTGGCAAGTCTGTGAGCAGCATATCATTCAACATTGCAGTCGAATTGGCGTGCAGCTTTTGCAGGACAGTCGCAGGTAGGTCCTTCTTCAGCACTTGCTTGGCGAAGGCTCGGAAGTCGTCCAAAAAGCCCAATAATGTACGGAATGGGTGATACATGATGAGCTGGAAGCGCACACCTTCCAGCAAGATCATTTCGTGACCAATAATGAACTTGTGGTCCACATGGAGCTGGTCGGCGACTGTGTCCACAGACATGTACTGCTCCTCGACCTTGCCAGCCACATAAATGGCAGTTGGGACGAGATATTTGGGGTGAAACTCCATCACACTGTTGCTCAGATAAAACCTCTTGAACAGCATCATAGCGCAGCACTTGACCTTGTCTGATGTGCGCAGGAACTGAGCGCTACAGCTCTCCTGGATCTTTTCCTCGTAGAAAACTCGCAGCAGCGTTTCCTGCTCTGGATTTAGGAACTCCAGCAGAGGCGTTAGCTGCAAATTGGCCTTCTCCTCTGCTTCTTCCAGCGCCGAGAGATCCACGTCTACTTCGTCATTCCAGTCGAAAGTATCGCGCACAGCAGTCGACGAGCGAGGCACTAGACCAGCGAAAGACCGGGCTTTGCGGCTACTGCCAGCCGATGCTTCAGGCTTCTGAGCTTCCTCACGCTCCAGACGCAATGCTCGCTTAGTCTTTACATGCTGCAGACGCCGTACACGCGCTAGCTCCTCCGCCGAGAAGACCCAGTTATTGAAATGAGTCGATGCCGCCAGGTACGACATGCTGCCGGTGGAGCAATTCGGCGAGTGCTTCAGATTATATTATATGCCTCCTGGAACACTTATGATCCAATGAAGGTTTTACGTGTGCATCACACCAAGTTGAAGCTGTTTTGATCTCCTCATCAGTTCGAAATTCACGATGTGGAGTGCACGTCTCCGTTGTCAATCACGCGCGGCGCTAGGCGCCCGAAGCTTCTCGTCACCGCGCGTGATGACAGCATCCAAGGTGGCGTTGCAGCAACTGCCGCTTGTAGACGTTTCCCCGTTGGTGGAAGCTGCGAACAGCGGTCGCAGCCTGGCTCCTGAGACCAAGAGGCAGATTCTGGATGACATGCGCTCTGCCTGCATCGAAACGGGATTCTTCACGGTCCCTACGGAAGGAGTGTTGTCCAACCAGCTGATCCAGGCAGCGTACCGTCGAGCGGACGAGTTTATCGCTCTCCCCGATCCGATCAAACAAAAATACCACTGCAAACGCTCGCCCAATGCTCGAGGCTGGACACCCATGTTTGAGGAACCGTCGGTATGATAGAGTTTGTGGATATGATCTGGTTGTGGTCTCACTAAGGTTGGTGTTGTGTGTAGTACCAACCAGATGTGGTTTCGCACTTGGAAGGCTTCGACTTAGCGCGTGAACTGCCGGAGACGTATGTGAAGGAGGGGTCGAGTTTGGGGCCGAATGTCTGGCCAGTTGAAGTACCGCGCTTCCGCGAGGACGTATACGCTTTGTACGAGGAGACCACCAAGCTCTCGACAGTGCTGTTCAAGAGTTTTGCTGAGATGCTTGGACTACCGGCCGACACGTTTCTGGTATGCTGTTCTACATGTATTTGCAGTTTTGGATAACGTTGTACTGACCTGGTTGCTGTTTGGGGATTTGAAGCAACACGTGGACGAAGAAGCGGAAGCATTCATGCGACTACTGACGTACCCTGAGACGGTTGCCGCTGTGAAGAATTCAACGGTTGGGATTGCTTCGCATACGGATTTCGAATGCTTCACTATTATTCATCAGAATGGCGAGGGCTTGCACTTGATAAACCGCCAGGGTGTCTGGGTTGAAGCCCCCGTGTGTGATGACAGGTACACTATTGCTCGTGTTGATTTGAACGGTGATCAATCGCGTACAAACGTTGGTTTTCCCTCGACAGGCTCTTCGTCATGGTTGGTGACATGCTCGAGCACTGGACGAACGGAGTTCTAGTTGCGACTGAGGTATACTGAAATGTGCAAAACGTGAGGAGCAGCATTTTTCTAATTTAGATGCTTTTGTGGTGCAGCATCGTGTGTGCAACTCGGAGAAGAAGCGTCAGTCCATCGTACGCTTTAATGGCGCGAATGGCGACACCATTGTCGAGCCACTACCAACGTTCGTGACACCGGAGAATCCGCCTCGATACGCGAGAATGACGCAGCGCGAACATATTACTCACCAAATCGAGCTGGCAGAGCAGCTCCTGCAAAAAACCAAGTCAGAGGCGCATGCGTGACGTTGGCATAGCACCTACACTTGACGAAAATGAGCGTACCATACTCGAGCTCAACAATTAAAATTGGAAAGTTCACCTCTTTGAACTCACGTTTCTTTTAGTTTCTCAGCGCTGCAAACTCTTGGAAGAGTTTTTTTGACTCCTCGTTGCCCATGAGATCGTCTCGCGTGGGCTTCCTGCCGGTTTTGGCCTCAAAATCGTCACGCCACTGTGTTAGAGCGCTCTCCACTCGCGCCAATTTCTCGGTGCGAGTCTCCTGGATAACTTCCAATGGGATGCTGTCTAGCATAGGTTGGCAAAGAACACTCATGATGTCGCGCTTGTCCACCGTTCCATCGGCTAACTTAGTCATCTGTACACCAAAAAAAAAACAATAAGATTATGTCAGAAGCACGCCTATCTTGTCGAGTGCAAGTGTTCTTCTCACCTTGACCAGCTTCTGTTCAGCTCCCGCCCCACCGAGCGGAATCAGTAGACCACCACCAGGTTTGAGGTACTCCAGGAAGCTCTCCGCTTCCGTTTTGGTTTCCACCGCAACGCCGACATGGATACAGTCATACTGACCGTCGGATGGCAGACCAAGGTCTTTCCTCCCAGTACTGACGATGATCTTAGTCTGCTTTTCCGCTGCGTCCTTGCCCAGACAGCGCTGCAAGTTCGCTTTGGAGAACTCCACCAATTCCGGGACAATGTCAACACCCGTGACAAACCCCGCTGGGCCCACTAAGTGAGCCATTGCAGCCACGAGAATGCCCGATCCACAGCCGACATCCACCGCTGTCATTCCAGCTTGGAGGTGGGGTTCTAACAGATTCAATACCTGTGCGTGTTGCTGTGGCGTGGAGATTGTAGCCACCGTGCCGATCTTCAATGGTCGATTGGCATATCGCTCGTTTGAAGCCCGAAATGCTGGTGCCACGAAGTCCCCGCGATCCACACGCCGCAGCGCCGCCTCTAGTCTCGAGCCAGCAACCACCACATTCGTTTGGACTAAACTGTCCACTAATGCAGCGTGCGAATCGCCGCCGATCTGGTGACCGATGCTCGTACTCACAAGTAAATCTTCCGAGATGCCACTCAACACACTCAGAGAGCGGCAGTTGGCAATGGCACGCGCCGAGCTCAACGACCGAAGCACCAGCGATGACATCGAGATTGGAAATAGTCCGACAATCAATTTTTGGTATCCCTTTTTCAGACCATTTCTCGCCTCATATTTCGGACTATTTCTCATTTGGTCATAAAATGTGCTGGACTATTTCTGATGAATTAGTTCGATTCTACATGATTAACTTTATTTTTTCTAGACGATGGGGACAGCCCAGGCTCCATGGCTTTCCATGTTGTAAATGTTCACACCTCTTTCAGCGAGGAAGAAACCGCGGTCGCCCCAATTGGTACCGTCCGAGTTGCGAACGATCCAGTATTTGACTCCCGTCTTGGCGTCAGTACCCCATCCGACAAGACTCACGACGTGGGTAGTTCCAGGGTACTTGGTTGAATCACGCAGGATATAACCTCCCTTAAATTGGCGATACTCCGGCGATAATGAGTACATACTCACAACGATGGGGCCCCGATGATAGATCTCGCTCATCGCCTGAAGCTGAAACTCCTCCGGCGTCGTGAAGTTGAGTGTGCCGTACTCAGAGATCCGATACTTCACTGGGTCCTCCAACACGAAACATTCGCCCTTCAGGTTGCAAGTGTGGCACTGTGTAGCAGCGCAGTCACCCCCTCCCATCCACGACGGGTGCGACGCTATGTACGGGTTGCATGTCAAGTCGACAATGCCGTTTTCGTGGATCCACTTGTGTGCATACCGCGGGTCTCCGCCGTGACACGATCCAAACGAGCGCATGCCGCAGTCAAGCAAGACTTGCGGCGATAGCAGCACCTCCGTGTCAAGACGACCGGTCTTTCTGAACCGTGCAATTCGAATTCGGTCCGACAGCGCACTGACCGTGGCGAAAGCCCAGCAGGATCCGCAGGCGCGCGGGACCATTTGGTTCATAACGCTGGTAGTCAAGCTGACACCCGTTCCGTTATAGTCGCGCCAGTCCCAATTTTCAGGAAGATTATCAAATGATGTGACTTCCGGTAGCGACGTCAGGACGTGCTCGGGATCGTTGCCGCCAAGGAACCAGCCGACACCCTTGTTGGTTTGAACTTCTTCTACGTCTCCGTCCCCTTTGGCACTACCGGTGGACGTGCACGCCGCCATCAAGTCGAGTTGGTGTTGAACCGCGTGCATTGACATCCCATTGTGCGTGTAATCGCCCAGCTGCTTAGGTGCTAGCACCGCCGAGCTGACAAAGCTGCCAAGCGCGATCCACCCAAGCACAGAGCCAATCGACCGCAGCTTGAAGCGGTCAGCGTGGAAGCTCTCCCGAATTGATTGCAGTGGAGAAGTTAAAGACTGCTCCGAAACGTTGTTAGTGTTGAGCAGTGTGCTGGTGCGAGGCTGCAACAACGGAAGATCGGACTTGTCGATGATCGCCATCACGTTGGACTTGGGGGCTCAGAGCTGCTGGAGAAGAATTGCAAAGTGGTGTGCAGGTGCAAACGAGTGGTGCCATGTTCTCTCTACCAGAGCAAACAGCTCCTCTTCGACTGTTGGAAAGACATGGATACTTTTTGGACGACGTGACTCAATGCTATTGGCTAATTCAGCGGTTACGCACCAATCAGAGGAAAAAGAACGTACTTGTCAATCTTGAAGTTGTAACGGTCAGGCACATATTTTGCTGTGTGGTCATCTCTGCTGCGAACAATGTCGAGCGGGCCTGCTTTAAAGTGCCAAATTGATCAATGCTCGCAGTGTTGTCTGCGCCCCCCCCCCCCGTCCCGCGATCGCTGCCCAATGGTTCCAGGCGACCGACGCGAATCATGTATTCCGCTGCGTCATGTGTCAACGTAATCCTCCTCTTCGCTTGTGAGCCAGGGTCAGGAAAGCTGTGAAGCCCTAGTTTATGCGGTAATTTTGTACTAATACTGCAATTCTAGCTATGCACATGATATAACTCAGCGCCGATTTATATAGGGCCTGCCTGACAGGCGAAAGACTAGCCGCAACACACATACAAGTACAGCAAGAAGATGAGGTAGAGAAAAAGGAATAACTTTGTTGGCACATCCAACCACGTACTTAACTCATGAGTTCCTGTCTACACGATGGGCACGGCCCACGCACCTTTGTTTTCGATGTTGTAGGTGTTATTTCCCCGTTCAATGAGAAAGTAGCCGTTTTCACCCCAATGGGTGCCCATAGAATTGCGAACAGCCCAAAACTTGACCCCAGTCTTAGCGTCTTTGCCCCAGCCTACAATACTCACGACATGAGTCGTTCCGGGGCACTTCTCAAAGTCTCGCAGAATATAACCTCCCGTGTAGTGCTTGAACTCTGGCGTCAGCGAGTATAAACTCACAACGATCGGGCCACGATGGTAAATCTCGTTCATTGCTTGGAGTTGAAATTCCTCCGACGTCGTGAAATTCAGTGTGCCATACTCTGAAATGTAGTATTTCGTCGGGTTTTCAACCACAAAACAATCCCCGTTCATAGTGCAAGTATGACATTGGGTGGCGGCACATTCCCCACTACCAATCCACGACGGGTGTGCTGCAATATACGGACTGCATGTCGAATCCACGATACCATTCTCGTAGATCCACTTGTGAGCGTATCGAGGATCTCCTCCGCGACACGAGCCAAAGGAACGCATTCCGCAGTCGAGAAGTACTTGAGGTGACAATATCACTTCTGCATCCAGCCGGCCGGTCTTCTTGAATTTGGCGATACGGATCCGATCCGAAAGCGCGCTGATGGTTGCGAAAGCCCAGCAAGATCCACATGCGCGAGGAACCATTTGGTTCAAGACACTTGTAGTGAGGCTTATACCGGTGCCGTTGTAGTCACGCCAGTCCCAGTTTTCTGGTAGTTCATCGAGTGATCGGATCTCTGGTAACGATGATAAAACATGCTCGGGATCGTCCCCACCGAGATACCAACCGGAGCCTTTGTTGGTTTGAATCTTCGTCGAGGGTAACAAGTTGTTGCTGTTCTGCTCTTTTTGCGTGGTTAGCAACATCGAGGTGATGGCACCCCCTACTGCAACCCAAAAGAGCATGGATCCAATGGATTGACACACAAAGCGAGAATTGTTTCCAGCTGCTTGCCACGATGAATGCTGTTTGGATACTTCCACCTCGACATTTGAAGCTTTGAGCTCATCGGTTCTCGCCATTGCGTAGGAATTTCTGTTGTGGATCAGGAATACATATCGGAGCTCCTGGATTTCGATTCTCGGATCGCCGATTAATGCACTTTTTCAACACGGTGCTCCACCAATGAACACTTGCAGGGGCAACAACGCATAATGACCGTATAACGCTTCTCGAGATGACTTCAAGAGCCATAGAGGGAGTTTAATCCTTGAATATTACATGTAAGCTTCCTGTTCAGACACCAGATAAGAAGATAGTAACTGAGAGGATGTGTATTTGTTATTCCAGTAGCTAAGCCTCAGTATAAAATACATTATGCTAAGCTACACACCTTCGATTCCAAGTATCCGCGGTAGATAGAGCAGTGATTACTCCTCGAATTGGAGACCGGGGACCATCTTCTGTGCCACCACCACATCCGGGATCGGCTTCTTGCCAACGACAAAGAACAACGGAACCGCCTGTTTGTTCTTAGGCGAAAGTACCGGAGACCAGTGACGTCCGAAATGTTCTCCTGCAGTCTTTAGAGACGCCTGAACCTCCAGCGTCCATGAAATCTCGCTAAAGACTCCATGTAACGGGTCGTCCTCGCCGTACTTCATGGCACGCTTCCCCCATTCTTCACTGTCGACAAGAGTCTGACCTGGAATATCAGCCCAGAATTGACTTCCAGGGGCCGAGAGATAGTCGATTATCTTCAGTAGTTCGACGATACTCGAGCGTTCCATGTAAGGGATTAGTCCCTCCATGACCCAGAACGTTGGCATAGTGGGGTTGAATCCGTGCCCCATCAAGTTTACTTCTAAACCCGCTTCAGACAAATTCGAGATAATACAGTCCACATTCTGGGCGATAAGTGGCGCATGCAGCTCTTTCATCACGTCCGCCTTGTGTTCAAACACAGCGCCACTTTGGTCGACTTCCAGAACGTGACAGCCACGTAGTGCGTCCATACGGTACGCACGGGCATCAAGTCCTGCTCCAAGAATCACAATTTGGAGAATTCCGGGATCACGGTGCTGAAGTGCTTCGTCCAGATAGCGCGTACGGAACGCAATAAGGGTTTCTGGAAAAGAGCAGACCTCGCTCCACGTTTCTTTCAAAAACTTCTCGATCTTGGATTGTTGTTTCCGGGTAAGCGGTTCGGCGAAGGGGTCATTAATGAGCCGGTCATTACGAGCACTCTCGAGTGCTCGAAGGTAGGTTGTCACGAAGCCCATGGACTCAGCGAACGCATCGTCCACGTCTAGTATCGATGAAGATGGAGGAATATTCATGTCGGTTTCCTGGCGATGATCCACTTGCTACTTACCAAGCAAAAGCTGTAGTGACCTCCTGTAGAATGCTATCGGTGTACTTTCCCAGAATTTCTAAAGAGAAACCCAAAGAACGAATAAATGGCTGCTAGGATAGCAGTTATGGGATACATGAGAAGCATGGCATGTCTGCATTATAATTTAACGCAACATTGTAGAAAAAGCTAGCTAGCAAGTTAATAGTCCAAACCGGGGCATACATCTTTCAGACGAGCTTCACTTGAAACAGGCTTCTTGCCCATAATGAACGTAATCGAAACGGTCTTGTTGGTATCTTGGGAGATCAGTGGCGTCCACTTGCGTCCAAAATGGATTCGATCGTTTTTTAGTGACGCTTGTAGTCTCAAACACCAGGGAATCTTGCTCAGAACACCATGGAGAGGGTCATCATCGGAGTATTTCATCGTGACAGCAGTATCCCCAAAATTGAACGTTGCCTCGCCAACCATGTCAGCCCAGAACTCGCTGCAAGGCGCGGACATACCATCGAGTGCATCCAACAACGTCAAAATACAGGAGCGTTTCATGTACGGTAGGAGACCTTCCATGATCCAGAAAGTAGGGGAGCTCGGGTCGAATCCATGAGCTAACAACTTACTGTCCCAGTCGTCGTCAGCAAGATTCGCGACGATATAGTCGGCTTTCTTAGCAATTAGCGGTACATTTTCCTCCTTCATCACTTGGTCCATGCGCTCGAAAGCTTGGCCACTTTGATCGATTTCGAAAATATGACATCCGTGTAGAGAATCCAAGCGAAATGCACGGGTATCCAACCCTGCGCCGAGGATCACAATTTGGCGAATATTGCCGTCACGGTGCTCCAATGCTTCATCCAGATACCGGGTACGAATTGCGATGAAGTCTCCCCACAAACTACTCGGTTTCGACGTTGTAAGGAAGAACTTTTCTAGATCCACACGCTTCTGGCGAGTAAGCCGCCCCGCAAAAGGATCGTTAACGATACGATCAGAGCGCATACTCTCGATGGCACGCAGATATGCCGTTCCGAAACTGGTGAACTGCGCGAAGGTGTCGTCCACACATCTCGGTTGCATTTTATCGGAGTTGCCCTGCGATTCGTCCATGAGTTTGGATTGTCATGTCAGTTTAGCATGTCAGTGATGTCTGGTCTGCGAGAATATGAGATAAGGCACGAAAAAAAAAAAACTCAACGGGATCAAGAACCCTTCATCCCCGTCGCAAGCATTCCGTCGCTACAGATCTTTTTCAGAGGTGAATCCACGCCGTTAAAGAAATCATGGTTGATGAGGATTTCAGCCAAATGTACCACCACCTTGGCAACTTACGCAAGGCTTGCAGACGAAGTGGAGTTGTTCTTCCAGAGGTTGTTTTTTTATGTTGGAAACGGCAAGAGCGTGTGGGTCTCTAACATGTTCGTATTTCTTCTGTAGAACGTCTATGATTCTTCGACCGAGATTTTGACGGCACTTTCAGCATCTCATGGGGACGAAGAGGTAATCAGTACGATCAAGCTATGACCAAAGATATTTGATAAACTAACATTTGGATGGCATATCTTCCAACTTATTAGGGCGCTTTGAAGTTACTGGCCGCAAAGCTCAGAGTAGGAACCAAGCGAGAACATGCCGCGATAGCGAAAACTGATGACACCGAGAGGACTATCGGTGATGGTGGGGAGGAAACTCCCGTAGATTTAGAAGAAGATGAAGTTGACGATAACAACACTGCCGAGCCGGAAGAAGAACCACCACGAAAGATATCCCGCTTGACTGAAGATGTTCGCAAGGAACCAGCGGCTGTGTTTTCAAATCAAGTTATTGTGAACACATTCGCCGAATACGGTGAGCAGCAACTTCATCGAGGACACACGGGTAAAGGGGTCGCCCATCTACGAGCAGCACGTGCTATTCGAGACTATCCCTGCCCGATCACGTCTGGTACTGAAGCTCGTGCTGTTCCCTTGGTTGGATCCAAGATGGCGACTCAGGTCGAGCAGATTTTGAGCACTGGAAAGCTGGAAGAAAAGCCCAAGCTGGACGATGCGGAAAAGCACAATTTGCCTAAACTGGTTCACGAAGTGCACGAAGCTCCAGCAAAATGCTCCGAAAACCAAATTTTGGTTGATGAACTCACCAAATTCGGGGAACATGAGCTCAATTTCCGCAGTGTTAGTAAAGGTATGACCCACCTTCGTGCAGCTCGAGAATTACAGCTTACCGGTCACGTTATCACTTCTGGAGATCAAGCGCGTCGAGACGTACCGCTCGTTGGATCGACAATTGCCGACAAAATCGATCAGATTCTTAAATATGGGCGAATTGTCAAGGATATCCTAATTGCTGGAAGAAATATTCAACCAGATCTTATTGCAGAGAATCGTGCTGTACGACCTGAAAATCGGTCCCTCGTCGATGCATTGACTGACTACGGTAGTAGTCACTTGCATTCGGGTCATGTTGGCAAGGGTGTGGCTCATTTACGCGCTGCATTGGCGATTCGAGATTCAGAAATTGTGGTGACATCGGGAAAGCAGGCGGCAGAGTCAATCAAGTATGTTGGAGCTCAGATTGGAGCTAAGATTGATCAACTTTTGGAGCACGGTCACGCTGATACTGACGATGATGTGGATGACCAAGACGAGGAAGGAAGCGAGTTTGGCCATCGTGAACCATCTGGAACGCCACAAATTGTGCACGAAGTGCGCAGTAAGCCAGCTCGAGTTCAAGGAAACCAAGAGATTGTGGATGCGCTTTCGGCGCATGGAGAGAGACAGCTTGTCAAGTGGCACACTGGTCAAGGAACGGCTTTCATGCGCGCAGCTCGACGGCTTCGTGATGCTGCAGAGTTAGTGACAAGTGGAACTGTGGCCAAAGCGTTGGGATGTATCGGAAACAAGGTGGCCACATTCATCGATGCTATGACGTGTGAGTCGGCCGACGAGGCAGAAGAGATCATCGAAGAAGCGGAAAAGTAGGGACAACTAAGTTCGATGGTGGGGGCATTTGTTTGTTTTTTGTGTAATTTTTCAAGAAAAAAACTCATTGGGAATTATTTCTTCATTAAAGAGTTCGATGACGAGCGCTACGCACTCATGGCAGTTGGAAGCCTCACAGTCTCCCATATTTGTATTTTTCTCGTGAAAAACTTTCTGGCATTTTTTTCTGTGAAGGATTGGCGAGGTTGAATCCTCTTGTCTCGCTTGAAGGTTTTGGAAGTAGTTGTACCAACGGTGACATGTTAATGTCTACGTCTCAGACTTTGGTTGTTCTCGCACGAAAATCTCTAGACATCGTCTCATTCTCGCTTTTGGAAGCTGCAACACACAAGTGATCATGACCGATGCCAAGACAGCCGATGCGGTGTATGCACAGATCGGGAAGCTGCGCGAGATGGCCAAGAGTAAAAACGTCGATATCCCAGAGGTAGTCTGCCACCTTTAGCCATTCTCTTCATTCGATCTCACATCCGAATCGTTGATGAATAGAACCCCTACGTAGCCACACACGAGATCGCCACGGCACTTCTCGCGTCGAACGGAGACGAGCAGGTCGGAAGCTAAGTCCTTATCACCCAAGAAGGTCATAGCTAACGTTGTATCGTTTGGTAGGGTGCTATGAAAAAGGTGATGGCAAAGTTTGGTCGAAACAAGCGATCGCTTCCGGCCGAGTCGAATCAGAGCAACAAGAAGACGAAGCGTGCGGGTGAAAACGGCGAGGAGAGTGACCCAGCTTCTGCGGGTTACGCGTACACCGCTGTATCCATGGAGGACGTTGGTGAAGAAGAGCCCATGGCTCCGCACAAGACCATCCGTTTGGTCGAAGAAGTTCGCGAGAAGAAGGCTGCGAATCCTGCCAATCAGAAGATCGTGGACGCATTTGCTGCGTATGGCGAAGAGCAACTCGAATATGGACACACTGGCAAGGGGGTATCGCATCTTCGTGCTGCGCTCCACATCCGTGATCACCCGGACGCTATCAAGTCTTCGAAGGAAGCACGAGCAGTCCCCATGGTGGGCAACAAGATCGCTGCTCAAATCGAAGAAATTTTGGCCACGGGGAAGGTGAAAGACACGACCGGCGATCAAAATGTAAGTACCGATGTGGAACACCACCAACGTCCTGAATTGGTGATGGAGATTCACAATTCTCAAACCAAATGTCCCGAGAACCAACCGTTGGTGCAAGAACTGACGAAGTTCGGAGAGCACGAACTCTACTTCGGTAGTTCCGGGAAGGGAACGAGTCACCTCCGTGCGGCGCGAGAGATTCAACTGGCAGACCACGTGATCAAGTCTGGATCAACCGCTCGAACGAGCGTCCCGTTGGTCGGTGATGTGATCGCTGACAAGATCGACCAGATTTTGGAGTATGGCCGTATTGTCAAGGACACGGGGGAGACCACGGGGTCTCGAAGCTACTCGCGCGGCAGTGGTGGGGGTTATACGCTTGCTCCGATTGTCAAGGACTTGCGTGAAAAGCCGGCCAAATGTCCCGAGAACCAGTCGATCGTCGATGCTTTGGTCGACTACGGTGACAGTCACTTGTACTCTGGCCACAGAGGCAAGGGGATCTCGCATTTGCGAGCAGCTCAAGGTATTCGCGACTCTGACACGGTAGTGAAGTCGGGAAAGCAAGCCAGCAAGGCCATCGGGATGGTCGGTCAACGTATTGCGGCCAAGATCGACCAGATCATTCAACAGGGTCACGCTGATAGCGACGAAGATTATGAGTACGATGCAGCTGAAGAAGAAGAGGAAGAAGAGAGTGAATACGGCAAGCGTGAACGTGACTCGGTGGTGCCTCCGATCGTGCGAGATGTTGTCAGCAAGCCGGCTGAAGTTGAGAAGAACCAGGTCTTGGTTGACGCTCTGGTCGAGTATGGCGAGGAAGAGCTGTACAAGCGCCACACTGGTCGAGGAACGGCGTTCCTACGTGCTGCACGCCGTCTTCGCGATGCTGATATGGCCGTGACCAATGGGCAAGAAGCGAAGAAATTGGGGCGCATCGGTGACAAGGTGGCGAATTACATCGAGACGATGCTGGCGAAGTAATTTTTAATGAGTAGCGAGCACTCATTTTGTTAGTCACCAGCACCGAAGAGAAGAAGACCAGCGTGGCAGTTTAGGGTGGGCTGGTGACTGCGTCGTTATGGACCTTATATATTCTCATTTTTGCCCGAAAATCCTTCTTTATTCGAGGCAACCGAGCCATTCCTCGTACTTGGGATTACAAATTGGTCCAATATTCTTCATAATTTGTTGACGACGCAATTCGATAGTGTTGGGGTCTCCAGAACACGAAATTGGCATGAACCGATCACTGAAGCAGATGCCCGAGCTTGAACCAAACACTGGTGTGTGTGGGGAAGGTTCGGGCTTACACTCTCGATACAAAATGCCGATGCATTGTTGCACACTTCGTTCGAATTCATCTTCTGGCTTCATAGGTGGAAAGGTAGAATTGCGTGGATCGGGTGGGATGTTACCGGGGTTTGCTTGATCAATAGAAGGCGGTGGTCCAGTTTGATTCACGCATACCGTCGAGTCAAATGACTTGAAGAGTTCCAGAGTTCCGGTTGTGGCTGTATGATCAGGCAACTCGCAAGATAGCGCTTCAACTTGTGCTCCATTTCCACAGGTATTTCTTTTAAGATTGCAGTCGCTTTGCAAGAAACCATTGCAGCACAGAGGGCAACTATCAACCACCAGCATTTTCAGTGTTTGATGAGCACGTGTAAGATCGGGGAACGTCTTGAGTCTAGGCATTGCCAAGACTAGCATGATCTCGAGGCGAGTCAGTTGTGCAAAGTCTTCAGGTAATGAATCCAATGCTTCAAGTCTTGCCATCAGAATCGAGCGAAGATTGGTGAGACCAGCAACATCGGGTAGTTTGGGTAGCATCATGTGCGCGCCCAAGTGTAGAAACGTTAGCTTTTTCATGTTGCTGAACAATCCTTGGGGTAATGAAGCAAGACTTGTCGTTCGAGCCTTGCCTTGAATGTGCAAAAATTCGAGATCCGTGAACTCGGAAGCCCATACTGGTAATGTGGTCGTATGTGTGAATATCAAAGCTCTATAATGATGAACGAAAGTGTTAGTTTTCAGAACAGTTATTGCTTCAGTTAGTGTCGTACATGTGCTTTAGACGAGAGCAGTGATGGAGTGTTTCGGGAAATTCAGGTAGTCGTCGGTTTACTAGTTGTAAAATCTCTACCGGAAGCCGCGAGTTTCGATACCTTCGTGGTGACATTCGGAGGATCAATCCAAACCGAAAAGTTTGCCGGTGATACATCCATGTCAATTAATACACGACACGGACAGTTGTAAGTCGAATCATTTGTGCTAGAAAGCCACCAACGGTAACGTGGATCGTACATTCAGGGGAATCTCGACAAGCCTTATGCGAACGATGAATACTGCCTGAGACGAATATGATCGTACCAACAGTAAGCGCCACGAATACCAGTCCAAGTGGATGTTTCCTTGGATAAACGTTGTTTTTCATTTTGATATCTGCATTGTCCGATTTTGAACAAAGTAGCTTAACCAACCGTCGCAAACTGATAAGCAGCGCGAAATTATTTCCAAAGCGAGCGATGCACACACCAACAGATTGAAAGCGCAGACCTTCAAGGCTTTTGAAGATTCTAGCAGTCTGCTCTGGATTTGCATGCAATCGCGCCGCGTTCTGGAACGACCAGCTAGGGAAAAACTCAGCTATTAGATGCTGGCTGGCACGATCAAACTCGAAGTTGGTGAGGCAATATGTAAGAACTAGAACAGGGAAACCAATCGCGACCAGAAAATCTGACCTACACAAGAGTGAGGTTGGTTTAGAAAGTCGATTCACGTCTTATTAAGTGCAACCAATACGTACATTGAATCCACTAAAGCTTCGCCTATATGCGATGGAGGAGAAGGTGAGTACATGAGCACTACAACTGCAAAGGCATTCCACACGACAATTAAGGTGCAAGTCACTACGAGTGGCAGTGGGAAACCCGCTTCGAGTGTTTGATACAGCATGAATATTTGCAGCATCAAGTCTACAATTTTCATCCACACACGCTAGGAATGCAAGGGTTAGTACATCATGGTCTGAAGATCGTACAGCAAATCTCACCGCTATTTTTCGAGCATGACTGCCCTTGCGCCATAACTCCGAATAGGAATCACTATGTAAGCGACGTGTGCTCGGTAACTTTCGAAGAGCTGGTTGTGCTGGAAGGATCGAAGCTAGTGAATTTACTGAGCGCTTGAATCCTCTCCGAAGCTGACGGAGATCTGGCGAGGAAGACGCCTGTAAGCCAACTGTCAGCGATGGACCGCACTGCGTTGCAGTCAATGTTCGCTGTCTTAGCCCTGCAATAAGCATGCTTCCTATCCAGAGATATCCCAACGCCACAATTACCAGTCCAGCTAGGCTAAGAGCTCGAAGTGACGGTGTAGGCTCTACCAACATCCAAAATGATCCGTTGTCGAGGGCCTCAGTTCGCATAACGTAATTGATTGCCTCGTTGGGCGCTACCGTCAGCAATAACAGCCAGCACGTCCAGCTCAAACACACGATCAAGATCATTAGTAAAACTGCCACAAAAACTCGAGACTGGTGCCTTGGAGCTCGTTCTTGTGTAAGTTTGCTTGGTCTCCACTTTCTGCGTTGAGATGACTCACAGCTTTTATCATTGTGCAGATCGTACGCACTACTAGTTGTTCGAGATGTAGTACATGTGCTTGATGCTGTAGGTCGAACACGTCGCTCCACTTGGTGACGCATGCAGCTCTTTGGAGGTATCGATGCCAGTATTCGCACCATCAAGCAGACGTTTGAGAAACTTGACACCCAAGTATTTGTGTCGATACTAAGAAAGAGAATGATTATTTATTTAGTGCCCCCGTAGAGCTGCAAACAACGTCATGCAAATAAGAACGGCGCTCGATATATATGGCGAATGGGAGCTTACAAGAGTATTGCATTGGCAGTCTGCTATGCCGTCGGCTCCGCAGTGGAGCGTGAAGCCTGTTGCGACAGCGAGCGTTGAGCCTTGACCTTCTCCTTGAACGCCGATCGGGTCTTCTCCTTGGTCACGGTCTCGCTGGACTTGACGGAGGCTCGGTTTGCCTTGCTGCTGGAAGCTGCGTTAGTAGCTGCATCTCCATCCGTACTCACACCATTGTTTTCCTTACCAGTCGAGCTCTGCGGCGTCTTCCGCACCGACGCTGGGCGGGGTTTACGTGCAGATGAAGGCAATTTCGTGTTCCCTTGGCTCATATTCTGTGAGCCCTTGGGCGCAAAGCTGGACTCGACGGTCAAAGGCGGCAAGGGCCCAGTGTACGGCGTGTAGTTGAAGTGGGGACGCGATGTCTTGTCCGTCGGAGTCTTGGGAGCCGGCGTCGATGTTTGTTGGGCATTAGCTGGAGTGTTTCTGGGGTGCAGCGGCTTGCGAGCGGGTGGATGCGTCGGTGTCGTCTTTGGGTGCGCGTGATCCCTGGCGATTGCAGTTGTGCGACTAGCGGAAGACGCTGTTGGTCTCGCGAAGGAGAATTCCTTCGGCTTGGTCGGAGTCTTCTTGGCAACTCCATTAGGCTTCGTACCGGGTGTCTTCATCAAGGCTGAGGCGCGAGCTTTCTTGTTCTTCTCGTGCTCTGAAATGGAAGGCGCAGCAGTTGCATTGCGAGCGTGGAGAGCGTCGAATTTCCTCTTAGTGGCGGACTTGGACGCAGATGTCGCCTGGCTTGGCGTTTTCTTTTCCATGGGCGTCATGGCTTTCGCCGGTGTCTTTTTCTCTTGTGTCTTCTTTTCGCCTTCTTTATCCATAGTATCCTCCTGTTTTTCTTCTGCATTATTCTCTTCCTGCTGCGCCTCCACGTTCTCTTCTTGATTCTCGTCGGTTTTCTGCTGGTCCATGGTGGTCACGCCTTCCTCCTCTGTCTCGGTGTCCTGTGTCTGCTTTTCCGACGACTGGGAGGGCGACGGAGCTTGGTCCAGCTTCATCTCCTGATGCTCCTCCGTTGTCTCCTTCTGCAGCGCACTTGACATGGATCTACGGTTGTCTTACGGAGCGCTGTCCTTTGAGCTGATCGAAGAATGGAGCAGAGCGCCAAATTGGCGCCTTCAAAATTCAAAACCAGCTTATGTTGCGCTAAGAGTAATGTTGCTAACTATATTCTGTTAGGATTAAGCAACTTCTGTTAATTTCGGACGTTATTTGAAGATCGCCATATTTATTAAAGTCGGGAGCTAATTTGTGCAAAGTTGAAGTGGTCATCGTAGTACAGCCGCTAGTTTGTCTTGCTGCGCAGTGCTCAACTTCGATGCTGCATTTGACACAGCTGACGATCCTAGAGTCCTACGTAATTGCCGTATCAACCTTGAGTTCGCATCCTTCACGCTGCTCTTGGCTTCCTTCAGCAGATCCAGCGCCAGGGGCAGTACATGCCGAGTAAGAACGTAATTATTCTTGTCGTCCAAGCTGTGTGCCGTCAGCTGCGTCAGCGTGTCAAGTAACACTGGAATCACTCGCGAGTTGGCACTACGAGCTTGGATGGCAAACTGTTGACAAAGGGAGCGATTGTCCGCATGAGTACAAAGCTGTTGCAACGCAGACTGAGCCAGAGATGCTGTTCGAGCATTGGCGAGGTTCTTCGTGACAGCAGGCACGAAATTCGGCAGTACCAGCTCCATGCCGCTACCCACAGCAGGGACGATCCTCTCCATACACTGGAGTGCAAGCGCATTAACCTTAGCATTGCCGTCGTCCAGACGTTTGATGAGCAAGTCGAACAAGTTCAGCATATTCCCGCTTTCGACGAGAGCCGAGGCACAACCACAGACGAAATCGGTCGTCTCATTAAGTGCTTCAAAACGGTCTTTCCAGTTGCTACTGTCGAGTTTTTCCTCTAATCGATGGAGTTCGTCAACATTTATCTTGGATCGAGTTCCATTGCTAGATGTAGGTGGAGACGCTCGACTCGAAGGCTTCGTGGTCTTCTTTGTCTTTGGTGCTGAGGTGGTTTCTCGTTTCTTGGTGACGGATGACGGCAGCTCTGATACAACATCAGACAAACTGGAAGATTTGGGGAGAAGTACTTGCGGTGAATACGCGACTTTCCCACTGAGAACGCTGTCGACTTTCGACTGTGCGGAAGCAGATAATAATCTCTTGATCCGATCTCCAGGAATGCGTTGCTTGTAGTATAAGTGTAAGATTGATTGCTTTGCGATGTGCCGCACCTCGTTATTGGAGTCTTCAAGGCATCGACCAACTAGCTGAATAATCGACGGTAACTCCTTGTTTGCTTGGATTTCGGGCTGACCCACAATTAGTGTGTGGATGCCACGAGCTACTTCTCGGCGGATTGGTGCGGCCTTGCTACTCACATGAGACGTCAATGCTGATACTACTCGAGACGTAGAGCACTTCAGCACCACGGCATGTAACGAAGCTGCAGCTGATTCACATACAAATGCGTTCGAGTCTGCACAACGTTTGAGCAAGACAGGGACAATATTCTCCACTTCCATGTCCATCGTTCGACTGAAAGCAGCACACATGGATTCGAGTGCCAAAAGGGCATTCTTAGAGACTGACGAACGCAGATTCGGGACTTGTTTCATAATTCCAGTGGTAATTGCGTGTACCTTGACTGCGTCGACTATGCTAGCGTGGTGTAGCGCAATTCGCCGAACCGTACTCAGTGCGTCGAAGTTGGCCTCCCAGTCATTACTTTGAAGCTGACAGAGAACGTTGCTCAATTCTTGCTTTGGATTAACCAAAGGCGTGATCTCGTTCGGCTCCAAGTATCGTGGTTCTTGTTTAACAGGTCGAGGAACTTCATCAGGATATTTGCCTTTCGCTGGTTTCTTCCAGGGCTTTTGCATGCCATTCTCTCGTCCCAGTTCCTCGGGTGATAGCACCCTTGGAGAGCTGTTACTACTTGCTTGGCCATCCTGTTTTGTCTTCGCCTCCAATCTCTTTCGAGTTGCTAGGGACACCACTCGTTCGCTATTGTTTTTCCTCATCGGCCGGGTTTCGTTGTTGTTGTCAAGCTCGCCAGAGGTATCTTGGTCCACGGAGTTTAGATAGATTTGATCCGAACCACCTGAAGCAGCCATCGGACGAATAGGTCGCTCATCTGGCGATGAATGAGAGGAAGATTCTGTTTTGAGCTCTCTTGTTCGGTCAATAAACTTAGACTTGAGTGGACGATCTTCGTAATTGTGTGCATCACTTTGTAGGCTCTGTAATTGCTGAGGGCTAAGCTCAGACGGCTGTCGTGGTGTAGTCGTGAATGCCTCTGATGCTGGAAGAGTGACTGCAATCTTGTTCGGGTGGACTCGCTTGCCTCGGGAGTGATATAATTTTGTTTCGCTGGTTTGACTCTCAATTTCGCCGACGGATTTACTAGCAGATTGTTCAGGTGAGCTTTTAGACCGAGGTTGTATTTGCATTGTCGGTTCTGTCTTTTCATCGTTTCCTCGCTCGGTGTTTTCACTGTTAGGACGCTGTGTTCGCTTGGCACGAGGCTGTTGAAGCTGGTCCATTTTCTTTCTCAAGGCAGATAGTTTTTCGTTGATATCGACTGCTGTAGGGCCATCTTCACTGCTCGATTCAAGGACGCGATTTTCGCGAGACTTTCGCTCGTCGTTTTCCACCATCACTTTCATTTCGGAACTACTATCCAGCGACTGCTCTACACTCGAAGCAAGTCGACTTGACCGACTTCTGCTTACACTACTAGCCGCTGGCTTCATTCGTAGTGTGCAATTGGATCGAAGTTCGGGGATATGCTTTCGCCTCAATCGCGCACGCAATGCAGCCCAATCCACTCGCTCTGAAACATATTCATCATCTATAAAAGTCTCCAGAAGTGCGTAGATGTTGCAGCAGCACACCATTGCGAACACAACAGCCACTTCGAAAGCTAAATCACGCACACGTACATTTGAGTCACCAAGCAAGCGTCCAAGCGTTTGCACGACATACTCGGTCGGTGCGTAGTTTTCTGATAAGAGACCTTCACGATCGGCGATCAAAAGAAGCACAATCCAAACTTTCACTGCTTCCTCTCGTATTTGGGGACGTCGATGTCGAAGTGAAGTCGACGCTAGTAGTTTCTCGATAGAGGCAACACTAACGCATCCACTTGCAAAGACCTGTCCAAGCAGAGCATACACGAAACTCTCCATCTCATCGTCATCTCCAACAAAATTTGCTGCGGTTTCTACCATGGGGGATAACATCTTTGTCACGTAGAAAGCTGCATTCTTGTTACTGAGCTCCGCAATATCATAATTCTGTGTATGTTCATCTTCTTTGTGTCGCGGTGGGCTCAGCTTACGGAATAGTATTTGGGTGATCTGGAGAGCTCGTTTCACAAGATGTATATCAACGTCTTGCGTAAGACGCACCAGGATGTCGAAAAGCTTCTCCAGTTCGTCCATCTGTTTGGCTCGCTCTTCCGCTGTAGCTCCACGCAGTGTACCAGCATCCACCTCTTTGCAGGCTGCGTACAGCTTTTCAACGGCTGCTGAGCGCTTCTTCCAGTCTGCATTTGAGTTGCTCGTGTAAGTAGTTAATATCGTCACGATATCAGCTTTCAAGAAACCAAAGTATAGCTCTTCGGGCAAAGTTAGGGGATGAACTTGCGGAGGAGAATGCCGTGAAGTTGTATCATTGGATAATGTAGCAGACGTCGGTTGTGATGACTGCGGTGGTGAACTAGGAGAGGATGTAGAGGTTGTACATGCCTGCAAGAAGTCTACGATCGGTTCTTGGTGCTCCTGTAATGTCACTTTGTCTTCAATGCTTAGAAACTTCATCACGTCGCTGTGAAACCGACTACCCCAATACGATTCGAGTTTGGCGATGGTTTCTTCAGCTGCTACAACCACATTTTCATTGGTATCTTCCATAGCCGGTATAATAGCTTGTACCAGAGCGACAATAAGCACTTTGTCTCCTCGACCAATTGCATTTCTTGTAGATTCGCCTCGATTTATTGAGCGCTTCAGGAATCGCTCGTCCAGCAATCGCATCAAGACAATAAGCGAGGTTTCGCGTACACAACCATATCCACTTCCAAGACCGATATTAACGAGCAAGTCTGCAACAGCTTGGAGATCATTTGTGACGGTCGCGTACTTCCGAAAGACCTGGAACATTTCTTCGTGAAGAGTATCCGATTCTCCGTCACTATCCCCATCTTGGTCCTGGTTCTTACGTGTTTTTGGTAGAATCGAGATCAAATGCGGCAGAATTGAAGACAAGATTTGATCAACGTTATCTCCAAGCGAGACCATCACGTCTCCAAGCAATCTCAGCGCCTCAATAGCTACATTTGGGTCTGCTTCACTTACAATTCGTCTACGGACACATTGAAGAAAGCGTCGTACGTTGCGAACCGGAAAGTGAGAGGTTTCCACTGCTGCAATCCTCCGAAGCTTCTGCAATGAATTCCATCTTACGTTGGCGTCGTCATCTTCTAGTTGATACACAAGCGTATCCACACTGGTCTCCATCGAGTTGTCAGGAAAGCACAGCGAATTCCAATAAAGTATGCAATTGGCTTAGCATTAGTTTGTCTTTGTCGTCAATCTCAGCATTGCAATATCCGTTTTGAAACAACATTCCTTGCGACAAGGACTGCAAAAATAGAGATGAAACGAGTGCCCAACGCCATCAAACCAACGTCTTCAACAACGGGAAACTTACGTTAGGTCAATCTTCTTTATCTATTGAAAACACATTCGACATTGCAATCGAAGCTTAAGACAAGCCAACATTCAGACGAGCAACACGCCCTACTTTGCCCTAAGATGGCAGCGTTGCAGTCTGGCATCCACTTACTTTTACTCTCGTCTCTCCGTTTTGTTCTCTCGTCTGGCTCTCCTTGTCTTTATGCTTCGTAAGGTCACAAGAACGAATGTGTGCAGTTCATACAAACCACTACAGGCTACTAAGCTCCTCTTCGTTCGAGGAGTCAGCTGTCTTTAAAAGACGATCGCCATTTGATTTCGTAGCTTCATTGTAGTCCACACGCCATTTCGTTCTTGCCTTCCTTTCCTCACATTTTACATACTCAAACTAACCGACTGTGAATACCGGCCGTTTGTTCGTTCACTCCTTTGCCTGATTCCATCTTCATGCCCGCGAGCCGAAAGCGGAGGGAGTCAAGGCTCGCCCCATCGCGGTCAAACAGAGCGGGAGACTTCATTCATCTCCGGTTGTTTCGATCCGCGAACAGTTTGATTTCTTCAAAAATACGAGCTGCATATAACGAATCTAGTCAGTCACATGCACTTGAAGGCACCCAAATCAACAATTTCATCTAAACATACCTTTCAGCGCTTCCTTGTTGAGGGGGACATTTTCGAACTCCATACCAAATGGATTGGCTTCTACAGTCTCAGACTGGGCCCTCCGTACTGACTCCAGGAACGGATGAGCAAGCGCTTTGTCAACCTAAAAATGATTAATAATGTCAGTTTACATGAAAATTTAACATTCGATTGCAGTGAGGCTTACCGAAATTCGGCACTCGGGGTTAAATGACAGCATTTGCTTGAGCAAGTCAAGCGAGTCAGCAGGGGCGCCCGGGTACATCTAGATGCAAAACAATTATATTATCAGGTCAGTATGAAAAAAAATATAGTTCAAGAATGCAGGACATACCTCGCGAAGGTCTCGGGGCTCCTTCTTCGGCAGTTTCCGCAGGTACTGCTTGACTTCACCCAAGCTGCCAATGTCATCTTCGCCAGGTGTGCCGATCACATTAAAAATCACGTTGAGCTGGTCCAGCTTGTCTGAGTATGTTGTGGGACGGTCTGCGCTAAGAGGGAAACACGAGCGTCCAGGAAAGAGGGGCACACGCTCCTGGTATCGGGGGCAGCTCTCGACTTGCATGCTCAGCAGCTCAGCAAAAATGCATCCAACACTCCACATATCGACAGAGAAATCGTAATCCTGAAGGAGAATGAGCTCCGGTGCTCGATACCATCGAGTGACAACGTGCTTTGTCAATTGCCGCCGCATCTTGGGGAATTCGCCAGATGATGAAGGCGTAGAGGAAGCGCTTCCAGGGGACGGTGCCGATGTGGTTCCTCCGTCAGATGTGGTGGGCGACTTGGAGTCCTTCGGTGAGTACAAGTGCTTGCTCAGTTCCTCCATCGACATATTGCTCTCCATTACACGAGAGAGCCCAAAGTCGCAAATCTAGAATTGGTTAAATCAATAGGAAAATAAAGAATAGAACATTAGCGAGCATTCCATAAAAAATAGTACTTCTCATTGCCACTTACCATAAGAGTGCAGTCTTCGTTCAGCAAGATGTTGGCGGGTTTCATATCACGATGGATCACGTTGGCCGAGTGGACGTACTTCAGACCACACAGAAGTTGGTACAAGAATACTTGGATGTGGCGAATGGTCAAGTACTGCGGGCTCATGATGAGCTTGTGCAGGTCTGTGTCCACAAAGTCAAACACCAAGTACAGATCCGTAAAAGTATCGTAGTTCTCCGGTGGGATCACATCGATCAAGTTGATCACTTGCGGGTGGCTGGAAAAGAAAACTAATTAGTCATTAACCGTAATAATGAAAGAATAAATGCGAGTCTCTACTAACCTTAGACGACGCAAAATGTAGATTTCGCGGTACAGTCGCTTGCAGTCAATCTCCTGGTCAAAGACGTTGATGATCTTCTTGATGGCCACTTTCTTTTGGCGTTCTTTATCGAAAGCCTCGGCCACCTATCACAGAGACAAATAGATTTTTATATTAGAACCTCAAATACAGAAAATAAGGGGCTGTTCTCTCTGTACCTGTCCGTAGGATCCTTTGCCAAGCAATCGCACCAGTGAGTAGCGGCTGCCCACTTCCCAGTTGGCAAAGTTGCGGAGGTTAAGCGGCGCCGCGCGGGGCACAGGCGACGGTGTGGGGGCATGTGAGGAGTGTCCATTAGCCGTGGCGGCTGTCTGGTTGTCGTCTGCAGGCGTGGAGGCCGAGCCTGCCGTCTGCTGCGCCAAGGCGCTATTGGACGGGAAGCCCTCGCTGGGGGTGGAGGAGAAGCCGTCAGGTGTGTGACTGAAGCCGTTACGGTTGACAAAAGCGGGGGTGGGAGGCATGTGTTCCACGGGCCCGTGCGGTGTGGGAGCCACGGCGGCGCTAAACATGGCGCGTTGGTGGTCGATGAACTGATCGGAGGTGTGAATGGACCCCTGCGGCGTGACTACGGGCGGCGTCACACCGTTCGACACACTAGCGGTGGGGGCGGCGGCCGGCCGGGACAACTTGTTGCCGCGCTTGAGGCCGGACGGCGGCGTGGTGGCCGTCATCTTGCGCTTGCGGTTACCCGCATCGGTCAAGTCCTTGGGGGTGGCGGTCTCCATGGCGTGGGCGACAGGAGTGATGGTCAAAAGGGGAAAAGGGGGGTTGTGTTTCGAGGATATGAGCGGGCAGTGCGGAGTGCGTGTGTGGCGTTCTTTGAATTAGTCAACGCGTTCCGGATATCGGTCCTTCCCAGCGCTTTTTGCGTTGTGTTCGCTCTGCTCGCGGGTTCGGGGGTGGCTGTTTGGCCTCGCTCTCACGGCGACGGGAAAACTCAGGCGAATTGTTTTTGTCCAATAGTCGGCGCGCCAGACGGATTTTCAACCAATTGAAGAATTGTTTGACTTTCAGCCAGTGCCGCGCCGTTTCTAGTTTCCCTCGGAACTGACTCCGACAAAAGGCAACTGAGCCAACACCTTTTGGCGGCATCAATAGTCATGAGAAAATGGAAGTCGCTGTCTTGATGTGCGGTCGTAGATCGTGAGCCTGTCTTGAGTTGAGGCCAGCCCGAAGCGAAAAGGTGCAACTGGCCCCAACCTTTCGTCTCTCAGTGTTGGGATTCAGGTCGGAGATAACGCTCGTGAACGAAGGTGATCGCGCCCACGCGTTTGAACTACTACGTAGTACAAATTCCTCAATCTTCAATTCGGCTTTTGCCTCTGTACTGTGGAGGCCGTTGGCCGAGCGCGCTGTTGATGTTGAAGTGCTTGACAGCTTCTCTACCATCTGTCCGCCGTGGCCAGTAAGCTCTTGACCTGCCTCAGCTTCTGCCGCGCTATAATACAGTAACAGAGACTCGCATGGAGCGAGGTCACCAGATGCGACCGAAACACGGGGGAATAAGAGCACCCTACTGGGTATCCAAGCTCACAGAGTATCTCATCACATTGCTACTAGAATGGTCCAGTGCTATCGATGATTATTTGACGTATGTCGACCAGCGGAGGAGAGAGATCGCTTTATCAGACAGATGGTCTGTTCCGCAACTCCCATGGTCTCCAGTATCGGTGGCGCACAATACATGTTTGCAAGGGCAACAGTTACTTTTGCCAAGCAGCACTGATTTCTATCCAGCAATAAATATTCTAAACTAGCATACGTACGCCGCCCTCAAAATTGGGCAGCGTCCTGCGCAAGGAACGCATCGAGGTCGTCCAAGTCGCCATCGCGCGTCTCAATCGCGTTTTCTCGTCGGCGCTGCGCCTTCTCGGCCCTGGCTTTGGCTTCCTTCTCCTCATGCTCGCGCTTCGCCTCCATCGTCGCAAGTCTTACTCTTTCTTGCTCCTGCAACTGCAGCATGCGCGCGGTAGCAGCTCCGGCATCGCGCCGGTCGGTTTGGCGCTGTAGACGCCGCTGCTGCTGCTCGAGGTGCTTCTGGTCCTGGAGGAGCTGACTCAATCGTTGCTGCGTCTGTGCCTTCAGAGCCTGTACTTGCTGGAGTTCCGACTCCAGGTCGAACAGCAGCTGCTCCTCTTCGTACTCCTCGTCGGTCTCGAACCGGCGCTTGGACATCGAAGTTCGCCGCCCGCGGCCCTGCACCGCCGACATCTCAGGAGAAGTGGCTTCAACAGCCTGATTCTGGTCCGCAATGATTGGCGCTGATGCAGTTTGTGTTTTCCACACTAATATCGTGTGGAAAACACCATTCCAATCATTTGCAAGAGCAAGCCAAGATGGGTGACGAGGAGATCTCGGCGCCTCCTAGCGACGCAGAGCAGAAGCTTTACGCGCTAAATGCTCTGCAAGTAGTGGGTGGCTGGTCAGTACATGACGACGGCGATGGGCGGATCTTTTACTATGACCACAAGACCGACTCGTCCCAATGGGAGGTCCCTGACGACCTCGCGTCGCTCGAAACCGAGTTCATGATGAAGCTCATGTTGCAGAACGCTGTGGCTCGCTCTGGTGTGTGGACAGCGCATGACACAGGCAATGGTACGCTGTATTACTTCAATTCGAAGACGCGTGAGTCGGTTTGGGAGCGTCCCAGCAGGTGGGGTGAGGAGGAGGCTGCTGCAGTGGCTGAAAGAGCGAGAGAAGAGGAAGAGCAACACAAGGCAGCCAAGAAAGAGAAGAAGGAGAAGAAGAAGCACAGAAAGCACAAGAAGCACAAAGAGGAGCGGGATGACGAGGCAGAACAGAAGGAAGTGGAGGCAAAAGACGAGGAACCAGCACAGGAAGTGGAGGAGGAAGTACCATTAACGGAGGAGGAACTGCAATCCGAAGTGGAGCGTAAGGCTCGTGAACAGAAACGCATTGAACAATTTCGAGCCATGCTGCGCGACAAGAACATCATGCCTTTGACCAAGTGGTCCGTTGCGCTGCCACAAATTGCAGGAGATCCTCGGTTTATGGGTGTGCCAACGATGGATGAGCGTCGTGCAATTTTTGAACACTTTGTTGCACACCGTCGAGATGATTTGAAGGCAGAGAAGAAGAGTAAATTGAAGCAGGCTAAGAAGCTGTTCACTGAACTATTACGCGAACAGTTTCAGTTGAATTCGTGGGAGCCAAACACTACATTGAGCGTCTTCCTTTCGACTTTGGAGAACTATCTTGATGCTCAGCGATACAAGCAGATTCAAGACGACGCATTAGTGCTGTTGACTTTGTCTGCTCAAGAAAAGATTTATGCTAAAGCAGTAGCAGATTATAAATCTGAAGCGCTTAAACGAGATGGAGAACAGCTACGTCTTACCAGGTTCCTGGAGGAAAAGCTTTCTACTCAAGATAAGACGACGATGAAATGGGAGAGTGATGAAGTACAGAATCTTGTTCGTGATTTCTACAGCTCTGCAGCTTCGAGTGGTGAATCAACAGCATTGCTATCCGAGCAACAACAGAAGCAGGTGTTTGAGGAGATAGTATTGCGATCGACCCGTGATCATGACTTAACGCGTGATGAAGATGATCGGAAGCAACCAGAGCGTTCAGATCCGCGGCGTCGATCTCCATCACATTCGAGTGAACACAAGCATCGGGGATCGAGTCCACGAGAGTCACGCCATGCTTATCACGATCGCCATGAGTCTCGTCGACGGCGTAGTCGCAGTGACAGCCGATCACAGTCCCGTGGGCGTGAAAGGAGCCACCGCAGTCGAAGAAGTAGTCGGCGACGCTCAGTGTCTTTGTCGCGATCCCGGTCTAGATCTCGCTCCCGCGAAGAGCGGTCATCTAGGAGATCGTCCCGCCATCATCGCCACCGCTCGTCCTCGTCATCGAGATCTCGCTCGCGAACTCGCAGATAATTATGCAGCTACGAAAGGGACGCTAAAAAGCCAATACGTTGGTATCGAATTAGTATTGACAAGTCCAAAACTGAGTGCTACTTGCTGAAATAGTCTAAAAGATTTGCTTCTTGGGAGCCGATCCTGGTAATGGGGAAAAGTCCACGGTCCGAAGGACGTATTTTGGCTCGTCGACGATCTTCATGACCGCCTGGACACCATAATCTAGCGGCACCGAGTAGATACCATCGATGTTGACTTTCATATCCCATCCGAGAGACCGCATCGATACTCGACGAGCTTTGCCTCTGCAGATATCAACACAACGCCATCAAGTTAGCACTCACTCTAGCAAATGTTCAAAGCAAACATGATGAACGCACCGTCGAAACCTGATGTCACCGAATGTAGCGTTAATAATCGGTTCGCGAACAACATAGCCCATGTCGCGCGAATCCTCCGGGAAGACGTTCTGCTTGTTAATACTGAGAAAGGAAGCACAACAACCACCAAATTGTCAGTTTCCGGCGCACCTTTGACTACATCTAAAAAATAACCTTACGATTCTGTCAGCTCTGTCACTGTTTCGTTTGTATGTGTGTGGTCCATAGCACTGAGGACAGTTGCAACCTGTTCTCGATAGATTTGGCACTGGAACAAGACAACTCTCAGTTAGTATCCGCCGACTGCAAGAAGGTTTTGGCCACACTACGTACCGCACTAGAGTACCATGCACTCGAACCTGTACCAGTGCACATGAGAATGCCACTGCTACGGTGGGATTCACGCTGGTGCTGGTCGATACCGATATTGTAGTGCGACGGGCGAGAGGCGTCGCTTTCTGCAATGAACACTTCGTTCAAAGCGTAGCGAGGCAGCTCATACCAGTAGCCATCCTGATTCACCATACCTACACGGATTCGCTGTCGCAGCCGCCACTTGAAATCGCCCTCAAGTAAACGATCCAATGCAGTACTAAACCGGTGGGTAACATTATCCACCTTGTAGCAGCACAGGTTTCCTTCGCTTCGCTTCGGGTCTGTGTTCAAGCCTGCCACAGGGATTGGAGTGTTTACGAAGCTTGCGGTCTTTAAGAAAGTTCCATCGCCACCGGCGGAAAAAATCATGTCCGTGCCCTCAACGGCTTCATGTGTAAGTTGGTTGGCAGAGACGACTTTGACTGCGATTCCTCGCTCCTTAAAGCTATAGTATCAAACAACCCGTGAAAGTCAGAAAAAACAACTCTAAAAAACACTAACATACTCAGGTTACGCTTTACCTGCTGGTAATTTCGTCCACGGCCTCAATGTGATGTTCATGACTCGCCTTCAAACGGTCATGGACAAATCCTCGCATTGACATCTGCTTCCTCAAAGCTTCACTGGATATCGCAAAGCAACCCACAGACAAATCAGCACTTTAGATGAACATGGAAAGCACAATTAGGTGCCAACACGTACCCTGTGTTGCCATACAACTCGGCTTCGTGCTGGAATCGAGACATCTTTTTCACCACGACCACCTTTTTCAGGTTCAGCATGGGCTTTCCGGGTATCAAAAGCGGTGTCTGACGCTCTTCTTTCCCTGACGATTCCTCCGTGGTCGTGGCAGCCTCAGTCGATGCTGAAGCCTGATCCAAACTCGTGGAGTGCGATAGCACATCCGGGGTAACTTCTCCCTCCGACAGCGTCTTGGCTCCATTGTACGTCTTCTCAAGATATTCCTCTGAAATAATCATTCTGGGAACACGCTCTGCTGTAGCCAATAGCAACTCGTTGTCGTACACTGGTCGATCGATTTTCATCCATCCTTTGGGACTGAGCTTCTCGTTCCACGGGCATACCGAACGCACATGCGTAAAGTATGGCGCCATTTTACCAGTCAGAGGGTCCTTCCTGGTGTAATGCAAGATGTGGCCATTGTGGATCTGGTCCACCATGCGCCCTGATTCCTGCAGCTCAATGAACGTATCCTGTGACATCCTCTCGAGCCGTGTCCGCATCGCCCAGATCACTTCTCCATGGGCCACTACAATAGCCCTCTTCCCATGACACTCGTGGTTCAAGATACCGAGCAACCGGTCGGCACGTTGCGCCACAGCGGCCAATGATTCGCCTCCTGGTGGAGCATAGTAGAAGCGGTTGAGCTCTCGCCGCTTGAGCTCGTCCTGCATCTTAATGAATCGCTCCTGTTCGCTCATGAGGTCCATGGCGCCCCAGTCGCGCTCACGGATGAGCATTTCAGCATACCAGCGTGCACCGGGCAGTCCCATGCGGCCTGCAGTCTCCATTGCACGTAGATATTCCGACACGAGGTAGCGATCGAAATGTGCGAGGTTATTGCGCTTAAGCCAGTCGCCGGCGGCCGCGGCCTGTCTGCGCCCTCGATCTGTAAGCCGCCAGTTGGAGCTGTGGCGGTGCTTAAATTCGCCGGCAAAGAGGCTGTGGTCTCCAGCCAGGGAGCGCTGGCGAGCCACATTGCCCTCGCTCTCGCCGTGGCGGATAAGTACCAGATCGGTGAGGCGAGGGAGGCGGATGCTGCTGCTACTAGTATCGCTGCTGGTACTGCTCTTGCGGATGCTTAGCGCGCGTAAGGCGGGCAGGCGGCGCGCGCGCGTCGTCCTCAACATGATGCTCAAGTGCTGGGCTGGTGCGACGTTCGCAACTGACAGCGAAGAGGACCCTCCGTAAAGCTGGCTGCGGGCAGACAGGACGGTTGTGTATGTCACATAGCCGTAGTGGCCAATTAGCGCGAAGAAAATAAACCGGTAATCAACGGTGTCACCGTTACGGTGAACAACGGTGAATCGGTGGGACGGGGAAAAATTGCTAGGAAGATTTGGTAGCCAAAAGCGCGGGGCCCAATCGTGGTGAGGTGTCTGCAGACACGTGTGTAGTGATGCGTTGAGTACTGATAAACATCCGCTGGATTTGGGATTGGAACGCAGAAAAATGCAGCAAAGATTCGCTCGTGACGATGCCAACGTCATCGGTATTACCGGTATACCTGAGCGTCAAACGTCGCAGTCGCTACGTTGAAGTGAGTGATCTCAAAATCCGATCTCCACACTGCGATGCGATGGAGAGCCTCGACGCTGGCTACGCGCTGCTGAGCGACGTGAACGCCCGCAATCGCGAGCTTCAGGCGCGATTGCGTAGCAGTTTACCGCTGCTCTGGACGAGTAATGCGTTGGTGATGACGAGCGCCGCCGGTCCCAGGAGACGGCGAGCAGTAGTTGAAGAGTCGGCGGTAAGCGAAGCGGATCAAATGCTCTTGGCAGTTGAGGGGCAATCGAGTCTACAGGTCAGTCAACGATACAAGCGCCGCGTGGAATGGGAGGTGGCGAGACGCATAGCGCGAGTCGACCGAGAGTTACAGCAGTATCCACCTGCGCAACGGTCCTGGAACCAGCAGAGGAAAGAGGTAAAGCCTGCTCAGTCTTTATCCTATAAACAACGCGCAAATGCGATGGGTAAACCGGAAGCTCGAGAGACTGCTCACGTTGGTCGAACAGTGAGAAGTGTGGTCAATTTTAATCAACAGGAGAGGAAGTATTGGGGGAAGCCTACGGGGGCTGATCGTGAAGTGCGGCGAGTGTTGAAACATATTGCAACGAGTCCACTCCGCGGTGCTGCAGAGAAAAAAGAGAATATGAAACCGAATGCAGCGACCGGGGCACCGTTTAAAGCAATTGATGTGAAAACCAGTAATGAACCGCCTATGTTGGAGGAACCAATAACAACGAAAAAGGATCTAAGCGAGCCACTAGATGGAAGATCTGTGCTAGAAGAAACCATGGAGAATAGCAAGACCGATGAACCTACCGATGCTCTCAAGTCAACTAGCGACGCATCATCAATTAAGCGAGCGGAGACAAAACCTGATAGTCCTCGTCAAGTTTCTAGCTTTCCGGCGGACGGCATTCTCACTAAAGAAAAAGACTCGATCACTAGTCTACCCCAACATTGTGAGGAAGGCGATATGTTCTCAATTGAAGATTATAGTCTTCGTCAAATGAAAATACCAGCAGAGGAGCGTCCGTCATCGTCCATTGGGAGACAAGTTTTGTCAGATTTCCGCACGATGCCGTCAGTAGCATCATTTGGAGCACAGCCAATACTATCTGGAGGCATGGGAAATGCAGGAGATACACGTTTGAACTCGGATGTTTTACGAAGACTTTTTAGCGATTTGGATACCGACAAAGATGGTCACGTGAATCGCATTGAAATGTGTATGGCTTTGCATCGCTTGCAAATTTCAGTTCCGACGACCAAAATCATATCATTCTTTCGCCATATCCATTCCTTCGGTGCGAAGGGTGCACGAAATCGCCATACTTCGCATCTACCGATGAAGGAAATGATCAATTATAAAGAATTTGTTGCATTTGTCACCGCTGCCTACGACCAGCAACAACAGCGAAAAGCGAAGCGACATAGAGCTCCCACACGGAACGAGCAGGTTCGGCCGCTACCCTCACCGTCGACATCATTGCCAATATATGTGCATCCAACGAATTCACCTAGAGCAAACCGATATGTACATACCACTCAACCCCCACCAAGAAAAGAAGAATTTCAAGTTTATGAAGTCAAAGATACCGACTCTGAACAGAGTGAAGCAGCAATTGAAGACCGAGTTATTAAGGAAATTCCGGATTTCCTGGTCAGCAGGATACTCGAAGACACTTCCAACGCAGCTAGTATGGAAGACAAGGATACTGCAGCCTCTGTCGTGAGAAGGAGTTTGGAGTCGCTAGTTGGGAAGGAAGCAGTAAACGATAAAATCGTGGGCGAAATCACTCAAGAGTTGATAAGAGAGCGACTACGAAACATTGTGGCCTTGAATCAGGACGCCACCGAAGATATTACCGGCTTGAAGAGGGCTGAAGCTTACTACAATGAGAAAATGACGCAAGGCAGTGCTGAATTTGGTTCTGCTGCTGAAGACGCGAGCTCTGAGCTGTCGGTCAACTGGGTTGACGTACTGACTGAAGAGCAAGTGAGTGGTTTGGTGCACCAGATTTGGAAAGACCGGCATGCACTTCGTCAAGTGTCGTTGACACCTGTTGTAGACGTTCGTACCGAAGATTCGCCAGATATGCCAGAAGACCCGATTGTTAGATGGATAGATGAAGCGACAGACACGAACGAGCTTTTAACTCCCCCCACACTCTCTGAAAAGGCTGTGCAAGCTTTTGAAGAGGATAACCTAGAGGAACCTTCGAGCGTCCCTGAAGATGTGGCAATTACTGCTTTTGAAGACGATCACGAAAGGATTGCGATCGTACCTGAATCAACATGCCATCCACAAACTCATCTCGGTAAAGCCATTTTGGATTCATTCGGTGGTTCTGATAGCTCTCGTGAATTGCACCGTCCCGTTACGTCGATCGAAATTTTGCAACAACTTCGTCAGCAAAGGCGACTGCATCAAAGCACTCTCCCCAACCAGCAAACACCTTCAAACGTTATCAAGAACCCAGGACCAAATGTTTCAGTTCGTGAGCAAATAATTGGCGTGCAAGTCAATTCGCTCGACGCGGAAAGCGTATTCTCCTCTGAAGAAGATCGTGTAAGCATCTCAGAAAGTGATGAAGAGCAGGTTCATCTCGTTAACATGGCTGAAAAGGAAGATTTAGAGTACCAACCGATCACAGAACCCGTACCTCTTACTCACAAAGCACTGGATCTAGATGAGTCTTTGAGTAATAAAAGCAGCTTTGAGCTGGCGAAGAGTATGTCGGTGAGTAGCAGCGGCGTTAGTTCCTCCTCAGAATATCACCACGCGTATGGGATGTATCGAGAGATTGATCGTCAGATTCATTCCAAAACTCGAGCCAGTCGTGACCATCGACATCTGTATCGGCGTCAAAGACGTTTGTCTGTTTCTCGAAATAGCGTTCCGGATTCAATTTACAGCGCAGAGTTATCGGAAGGTGAGCTATCGCATGAAGAAGCTTTGGATCTAAGTGACGGAGAAATATTTGGCGAATCCAAAAAAGCCTACGCCAGGTGTAACAACGCGATCTCAAGCGTAATGGTAAGTAAAGAAGAAGACAATCTTCACAGCTCGACTGAATGTGGAGAACTCCCACCATTGGTAAATTATTTGATGCCTGTTGCATGGGTGCTTTACGCTCTCATAACCTTGACACTAACACTTCTGTGCACCTTTTTCCTGATTACTCATAGATAAAAGCCCATGCAAACTTTCGCCGTCAATTGGTTGCTCAATCGACCTCCTCATCGTTTGAATCCGGCGAACTCGAAGACGGCGCCATCCCTGAAAAATAAGGAGCCACGCTATCCTGACGTAGCTGGAAGACTTTATAGAGCAAAGTCCTCGTCACTGCTCATATCACTACCCTCTTCCTCCACTTCGTCCAAATTTTCCGGATCAAGCAGTTCACCAGCACCATAGTCACGACCTTCGTCGTCATTGTCGAGGATTTTCCCTTTACCTGCCGCAGGTTTCATCTCGGTCAGAGATTGTTTTTCCTCCGCTTCGTTGGCAGCTTCGGGCACAATCAACTCCCGTGCGTTCTTAACCTTTTTCGCGACTTTCATGGGAGCATTCTGTTGCACTTGGCTAGTAGTTGGGCGCTTGGACGGAGTCATCACGCCACCCTTGGTAGTGCTCGACTTCGTTTTTTGGTCGGGTTCTCTGTCACTGCTGACCACTACATCGACTTCGTCTTCAAGTAGTGGAACTTCAGGGACCATCGCCAAGCTCGATAGTGTAGGATCCTTAGCGGTTAATACTTTTTTCTTTCGAGATTGGCGACGACGCTGACGTTTAGCTTCTTCATTCTCCAGGTGCTGCTTCCAAGCAAGCTCAAGGCCGTATTTTTGCTGGAGTTCGTCTTGCGCATCAGCCAAATTGACCTTCAACAATATCCGAGGTAAGTAAATAATCGCGTTCTTAAAAACACCTGCACAGAGTTTTACCTTCCCATCCTTTAGAGAGTGGATGATCGCTTCCACTGCTTCAGCACGCACCTCCAAAGGATCCTTTCATAATCCAACACTGTCAAACTCAGGCCGAGTGATTTTTTGTTAGATTCGTTTACCAACCTCTGGAAGCTGAATATGCGCAGCCTTGCACTTTTCTACAAGCTCTGCGAGAGAGCGCTGTGCTTGGCGAAGATTCATCTTCCTTTGACGCTTTTGACTTTTGTTCAGGTTTGAAATTGGTTTTGTCAAAACTTGGGACGAGGTCTCAACTTGACTGTCGTGAATTTCACGACGTGAAAAGCATCAACTGTCATAAGCGACTCCATGTTATTGGTTTGTGCTAACCTACATGTAGTACTTAACGTGCTAAACTCAAAGCTCAATGAATACTTGCCTCACTTAGTCACCGGCAGCGCCTCGTCGTCCCCGTCGTACTCGCTAAAAGCAGCCGCAAGTCCTTCATTCAGTAGTTGATCCACTTTTGTAGCAACCGCGGGACCCACGTGGTCCAATTTCTTTGCTTGCGCTCCCGATGTGATGACAAATCGGGTATTGCGGATCTCCTTCGCAGCTCGAAAACGTGCAAGTCCTCGCTGGGTGTACCCGTGGGTCATTTCATACTCGCCTAATCGCACCAATTGGTCCACTAACGACTGATTTTCGTCTTTTATGGCAAGTGTGGCCTCCACTTGCTCTTGAATGCGACTCTTCTTCGGGTATTTCGTCTTCTTCTTACTACTCGCCACAGGACTCATGACTTTGGCAACCAAGGCAGAAGTTTCGTCGCAATCGCTATCGCTGTCGAGAATCACGTTGCGGCGTTTGCGTTTGGGCATATCATCCATAAGCGTGCGCTTCTGGCGGCCCACCACACGTGGTGACACCGCTGTAGCGGCTTCCGTCTCCATCGCATCAGTATCTTTGGCAAACTTGGTCTTGAGCTGGTCAAATGCCTTTGGGGCCTGCAAATAACCCAGCCCGTGGTGCTTTGTATTTCGCAAAGCCGCGATCACCTCTCGTAGCGCCTGCCATGGGTTCTAGACGCAGCAAATGGGGTTCAAGCAACATTGTCAGCAAGTTAACTCGAAAACTCTGTTCAGAATGCTGGTGATCACCTCCGGCAGCTGAATACCCTGTTCCTCGCACTTCATCAAAAGATCCGAGATCGTCGTTTCCGCCTTCATCCTTGCTATTCTTCAACAGTTCGGCCCTTGCTGTTCTTGTAGAGATTCCAACTGTAGTACTTCGAAGTAGTGAAGAAGAAGGAGAAAAGCTCAACGCAAGGTCTCACACCAACCTCTCGCTTCAACTTGCCTTTGTGTGGTCCACCATTTAGTGATGTGAAGAACATAAAACTATTATAACACATGCAACCGATCTCGTTTGAACATTTGAATTTGAAAAATTGGGCCACCTTTTCGCGGCATCTTTGCCCATTTCTGCATTCTCGACATCATTGTCACTTTCTCGTCTCTCATCCAGCGATGCAGGACGGTGTGCCCTTCATGATGTCCCCCATGGACTCGGCAGGCGAGGCGTGTCTGGCGAAGGCACGTGCATGTATCCGCAAGACGTTCGGGCCAGGTGGTAGCGGACGTCGTACCAAGCGCGCGCTGGAAATGGCGGACGAGGCGCCGACACCAGCCAAGACACCGCGCACGAAGGTGCGCCAGCGGATCGCCAAGGCGTCGCAGCTCAACACGGAGAACATGTTCTTTCAACAATTCGGTAGCAGTGAAGAGCTCATGCGCGAGGAGTTTGACCTCGCCCGGCCAGCCGGTCACCCCGTCCTCAAGGCCTCGCGACAGTACGCAGCAGCGGGTGTAGCAAACGCGTCAACCCATACTGTACAGCAGACAGCAGGAGCCCCCACCAGTTTCTTTTCCTTCTCATCAACGACATCCACAGCGTTCACTAGCTCGCTGCCTGCACCGTCGACGGCGAACGTGAACCAACTGACACGACCCACACGTATCCGAACGCCACGCAAGGCGGCAGTTAAGAGAGGACGAGCAGGAGAGAGCAGTGCCGAGAAAGCTCTTGTGCTAAGAAAGCCGCGACTGGGCGGCGTCAGTGCCACAAGTATTGACTACGCCAGTGGAGGCAACTCGACGATCAGTAACCAGACAGCAGCTCCCTCGAGCTTGGACACCCGGACATCTTTTGCGTTTGTCACCAACCGCGGTGACAGCCTGTCGACCAGATTCTTCTCGAGATCACCAAGCAAGTTCCAGTTCTCGTCGAATGCCACGAGACTGTTCTCCCAGCGCCAGGCACCGCTGCGGTGATTTAACCCCGTCATTTATTGCCAGGCACAATGAAGAACATCAAGACAATGCAATGCAAATTTATTTGACCAGCGAGAGGAGAGAAAGATTGATAGTGTAGTTGTAGTCCAAAGAAGAAAACAGTCATTGTTGAACTGCAAATACAATACAAATTGCAGTCCGAAACAGCGTTCTTCTAGTTCTTTGATCTCTTGTTGAACGGTATTCCAGTGTGGCATTCTAATAGATCATGGCCTCCATGCGGTTCAGTCGCTCGTTAGTGCCCGAAGGAAGACGGAACTTGATCATGCCTGCGAATGTGACGAGGAGTTCGGCCTTTTCGCGCAGAGCAGCGATACCGGCACGTCGGATTTCGCCAGAGACCTGAGTTTTCAGGCGGTCCGCATCACGCACAAGACACTCCATATATCCGAGCAGCAGAATGTGGAAGTTCTGACGAACACTCTCGTCGAAAGCGAGGAAGCGATCCACACACAGCGATAGGTTACTCGAGTTCTGGGTCGGTACAACCTCCAGTTCATCCACAAACCCGATGGCGTCTTCGTACTGCTGCTTCTCGAAGATCTCCAGGAAGATGCTAATGTTCAAAAGTGTCTGGAAGGCAATAGCGGCCGTACGTGCATGCCGGTTGGCTATAACCTGGACCCATGGGAAGCGCATCCATTTCTCGGCAAACTCCTTAGCCTCACGGAACCACTCCTCACGCTCTGGCCGTGTGGCAGCCAGCGTCGAGCTGAGTTGCGAGTTCAGCAGCACGATAACACCCTCAATGTCACCGGCGCTCTTCAACAGAGCAAATGCATCATGCGGGCGACCGCGAGCCTCAGCCTTGCGTGCTGCCGAAAGAATAAGCTCCTTGACCTCATCTTCAGGCTCGTCCTTGAGCAGGTGATCGTATAGTCCACGAGTACGTGAGCCATCTGTGTTGTTAGTGAATCCTGCGAGCACATCGAACTTGCGTGTGTCAAGTAGCAGCTCCGCGAGTAGCTCCTTCTTCGCTGTCAAGTCCGAAATGCACGCCACATAGTCTGCAGCCTCCGCGGCATTGGCACGCTGGAACCCATGAATGTATTGGCGAACCAGGCGCACCATATCGACTGTTGTCTCGTCTTCCTCTCCCATTGAGAACGACGTACATTCCAACAATCCGTAGTGGCTCAGAGTAATTGCGAAGTGTACCGCTTCCAGCAGGAAACCCTTGGATGCCAGGTATTTAATTGCCTTCTCGAATTCCTGCGTGATGAGCAGAATCTCGAAGTACAGGAACGCTGAAAAATTGCCACCACCAGGCTGTGCGCCGCCTTCGAAGTGGGTCGGACCAAACCTTTGCATACTCTGGGATAGCTTGGTAATTGTGTAAGTGCTGTCCGGAGCAGAACTGGTTGCTGCTACGCGCTGGATAAAGCAGAGGCGCTGCCACAGATAGTCCTCCACAGTTGTCGTGATGCGTTGCTCATTGGCATTGACGTTACCGAAGCACAGCAGGTTCACAACACAGCGTTCAAATGGGTTCACGACAGACACTGCGTCGATCGAGGAGCTCACCAAGCGGTGGTAGCGGTCCACCAAGCGCTCAAACTCGGCGGGGAATTGCTTGGAAAAGGCATTCAGCGGGTTAGCGGTACGGTCCGCGTACAAGCTCTTCTGGTGTGCACGGTATTTTAACGCACAGAGCACATCGCCATCAATGGTGGACTCCTCGCCTGAGTTTGACAGCTTGGTCACGAGATTGACTGCTTCTTGGTCACCTCCACAGCGCAAGCAGTAGTAGATAATAGCCCAGATATTGTCCACGTCCGTACTGCTGCCACTGCCGTTGGCAGCATAGCGCGAGCTGTGCAGATGCTTCACGAACGCGCGGATAGTAGCCACTAGATCCGGAATGCCACCAATAGCAAGACTGTTCTTCTGTACAGTCTCCAGTACGAATGCACGGAACTGGTTCTCCAGGAATACACGGGCACCAAACGCAAGACGATGCTGGAATAGCTTGCGTTGCGCTTCGTCGGTTCCCTGTCTCGCAGTCTGGAACTCACGCTCCGCCAGCTTTGGCGCACTGGGTTTGGTAGAGTCTCCACCTGCCAGCAAGTCGTTCACGAGCTGCCAGCACTTGAGCACAGCCTCCCACTTGGATCCAGTCATCGACACCGACACGTTGGACGAACATAGTCGCTGGAAGTGGCGCGCGAGTTCGAACTGACTGCGCGTATTGGGCACGCGGCTGCTGTTGAGCTCCTTAATGACGGAATAGTACTGCTTCATCTCTTCTGTCATTGCGTTCTCTACTTGCAGCTGCGACATATGCAGCGACGGCGTTCCGAAGCCTGAGCTGGTAGACTGGAAGCGAGGCTGGCCAGCGAAAGACGCGCCGCTGAGTCCCAGACCGGACGCAGACTCGAGAACCTGGCGCTTCTCCCGAACTGCAGAGGAGAAGATGCTGCCGGCAGCCTCGTCCGAGTCCAGGACGCGTGGATAGTTGCGGATACCGAGCTGTTTGGCCCCTCCAAGGTCTTCTAGTAGACGCTGCTTGGCGTCCTCGAAGTCGTCGATCATAGCGCGGTTCATACGATCGTGTGTGGCCTCCACTGTGCGGCGGTTAACGTCCTCGATGGCCGTGAGCACGATCATTTCGTGGTGGTGAGCTAGATATCCCTCCAAGTCCGTCTCGCCCAGCGGCGTCTCAGGCTCAAACTCGGGCGCGATCTCGAACTGCTTCAGCTCCTTACTGAGTTTCTCTGCGTCGATACCTTTGGCTGCAAGTAGGAAATTGGCCTTGTCGGCCCCTGCGGCGGCTGGGCGCTTGCGGCTTCCAGTAGAACTGGGTACCTGGGCGTTAAGTGCACGCGACGCATCATCCAGCTGCTCCAGACGCTTCTCCAGCCGAGGGATCCCCAGCTCACCCAGGGACGTCGTCAGCTTTAGCGAGCTCTGGTATAACGCCCGGAAGTCCACGTCGTTGGAAGCCATGGCGAGCAGATCGAGAGGGGGCAGCAGGTCAGTGCGCGCCCAAAAGCAATGGAGGACGCGGGATGCGATATGGCGGGTTTCGGTAGAATATGCAATTAATAAGGTCATTGGTGTGGTGTACCTAAACCAGTAAGTTGAAGTGGAAGCGCAATCTGAGTTGTCATTTTGCACACCTGCTGTGAATCACAGCGTTTTTTCTAGAGCAGAAGCACTCCCAGCTCCGAGTTACCATTCCGTGTATCGGAAGTATGGCCGTTCGTTTGCTCGAACTCGAATCATTTGTTGCACACTCGCTGCTGTATGAAATCAAGCAAGTTGTTTTTATTGTATGGTTTAGCGCTGGTAACACTCCGGGTGAATCAAGCAAGTTGGCTCCATCTTTTTCGGCGCTGCTATAATTCAGTTGTTGTTGTCTTCGGTTGGACTCGCCATCATTTTTGTGCTTCTACACGATGTAACTCTTGTTTGAGCACCACGAAAGAAGCGTGAAGGTGATGATTTTTTTTTTTCAGATTCAAAACTTGCAGGAAATGACTGCCAACGCAGCTATTATATCACCAAGCAAGTGAACCTGAACTGTTGAATACCAACATTTGTGGTTGCTCAAAACCAATTCTTGCAAATCATGGGCAGAACGAGGGGTATCTGCACAGTCAATGGCAGTGATGATGGAGATCTCAATGATACAAGGCAGCCAGTGAATCCACAGCCGTGCCGCTGTTGCCGTGCACAGTACAGCAGCAGCGCCGCCGGCCTCGCTTCAATCCTTGAGTCGTTGCATCGTTGCGACAGCGCCGTTCGCTAGGCCGGACCAAAGACGCGGCGTGGCGGGTACAACACCACCCGATTCGGCTCAGAGAGAGCGGAAGATGTCCATTACCTACGGATGTCGCTCGCTCTACCTTGGCAATGGATGAAGTTGATAGCAGCCTAATCGATAGCCATACCAGCACAATGGCCGTGCATCAATTCAGTGAGTCTCCACTGGCTCGCACTCGGCAAGCCAGGTTCACCAACCACTTTTTGGATCGCCTAGAGCTGGATCTGGCACAAAAAAACATCAGTGTTTTACTATTGAAACACCCCTAGCCCGTGATTTTAGAGGGGGTGAAGAGGAGTGATGGTCTCATTCCATCGTCGATCGCGAAAAGGGAAAACGCGGCGTGCGGCGATCGACGCAGACCAAAGAAGCAGTTCGAGGACGCGCAGTCCTCGTGGAGCGAGTCCGTGCGAGCAGCAGCAAGCGGCGCGTGCGTGTGCTCACTCTCGTTGCACAGCTAGCGATCCCCAGCGCTGGAGCGCGAAGAATCTGTCTTATTAAGTACGCTCCCTCCCCTTGTTATACCAATCTCCCTCTCAAGTGATATCCATGTCAACCAGCTGGCTTGGAGATCATAACCCTAAGGTTTTCACTATGAATAAGCAGCTAACCTTCACTCTGCATGATTGTCCAGGCAGGTTTACCCTCAACGTTAATCCAAGAGTGGCGCCATGGCGTGGACCTGTACGGCGTGCGAGTTCGCAGCCAATGAGGACGGCCAGGAGGCGTGTGTGGCCTGTGGCTCGGAACGACCCGAAGAAGAGGAGCAGCAGCAGGAGACGGACGCTGAGTCGACGCAAGCAACGAAGGAGAACGGCGACTCTGGCCCCGAGGTCGTAGTCATTGAGCTGCCGGCCAAGGAGAAGCTTGGCGTGAAGCTTATGCCGCCTAAGGACGGCGTGATTGACCACGGTCTGGCCATTGATAACATTAACAACCCATTGCTAGAGAACAAGGTGCAGGCCGGAGATCTCATTGTCGCTATTGGAGGACAGAATGTGGACGGCATGGGTTTCTCCGATGCTATTGATCTGATCCGAAAGATGCCACGGCCTCTTGCTATTTCTTTTGAGATCGACGAGGTTCGACGTCAAGAAGTTGTGCGCGAGAAGTTCCAGCAGAACAAGGATAATGATCTGGACAAGGAGCTTACCACGTACGCTGTGGTGTTCGACAATGGACCCATGGGATTGAACCTGGAAGAAGCAGTGCGATACGGTATTGACGGTGCCGTTGTGCGTGCACTGAAGGGCCAAGCCAAGACGAGCGGTATGATTTCAATCGGTGATATCGTGTACAAGGTGAACGAGACGGACGTGCTATGTATGCCGTACCTTGAGGTCATGAACGTTCTTCGTAACGCGACAGCCCCCAAAACACTGCAGTTTGTGCCCAAGGACAAGCTCGCTGATGTCCAGCGTGTTAACTCGCGGCATTCGGAGTCGTTCCGACTACGTGAGTCGACGTCGCATGTGAAGCAGAAGTTGATGAACAACCCGCGTATTGTGAAGGATGATGGCAATGAAGGCGACGATAACCAGTCGATCGCGCAATTGATTCTGGATAACCAGGCAGCGACTATCAAGAAGGGACGCATGTACAAGCAGGGTCGTGTGATGCGCAATTGGAAGTCTCGATACTTCGTGCTGAGTGTGTCGAAAGTGGAGTACTTTAAGAGCCCAAGCTCGACAACATCGCGCGGTGAAATGAGCTTTCTGAACCATCGTTGTACTGTGCGTTCGCTGCCCGGAACAGGCGACGTGGTGTGCCGGTCTCCAAACGTGACGGCAGAGTATTTGCTGGAACTTCGCGTTGATGATCGTCGAATGGTAATGGCCTGTACGTCTGAATCGGACAAGAAGGGCTGGATGGATGCTGTTAAGCTGGCTATCGATGCCTCCAAGACTGTTAACCGCACACAAAGCCTTGGCGAGTCGCTACGGGAAGCCAAGGCGTTACGGACACAGCGTACGGAGAGTCTTTCGATGGATGGAACCTTCTTGGACCGAAACGCTGGTGGACGTCTGTCGCAGTTCAACTATGAGGCATTCTCAACGCCAGTTATTCACGTTGGTGTTCTGTCAGCGACTAATTTGACCAAGTCGGGCAGCTCAGTGAACGCGATATGTGAAGTTACGGTCGGCGCTGAGACCTTCAAGACTTCTGTAGTCAAGAACCAGCGATCTCCTGTGTGGAAGCAGGATAACTCGGCTTCGTTCGAGGCTCCCAGTGATGACATGGTGGTGGAGATCCGTATCTTCGACGAGCACTTGTTCCGCGCGACAGAGCTGATTGCGACACTTACGATTCCTTTGAAGTCGTTGCCCAACATGCAGAAGACGACGAAGAAGTACCCTCTGGCTCTCGGTAGCAGATCTGCAGGAGCCGTGTTGACTTTGTCACTGGAATACGTGAACAAGCAGAAGGCGTACGAAGAAGACCAGGAGCGTGGACGTCTTGGCGACGACTTGAACAGCAACGGCATGATGAACGAGCGCGATGAAATGGTCAAGATTAAGGCCGAAGCTCAGATGGCTGCCGATGAAGCCACGCACCACGCTGCTCGTGCCCAGGAAGAAGCGCACATGTTGCTTGAGCAATCACGGCAGAAGGCTGAAGCAGCTATGGCTGCAGCTCGTGAAGAGCAGCGAGAGGGTAAGGCGGCTGTGGAGAAGGCTATGGCGGAAGCAGCTCGAGCAAAGGAGGAAGCAGAAAAACAACTTGCCGAAGCGAAGCGTGCACAGGAAGAAGCCCAGAAGCTGATTGAGGCTAACCGTCGTATTCAGGAGTCCGATGTCCAAGGACCGTCGATTTACGCTGTGTACCGCAAGATGATTCAGGACGGACACTCGAACGATGACGTGAAGAAGAAAATGCAAGAAGATGGCATCGATGAGATGGGCATTGAGGCGTTCTTTGACGGTATCAACTCGTACGACGAGAAGATTCGTGCCCTGCAGGCAGAAGTGGAGAAGCTGAAGCGTAGTCGTTCCGTGCGACAGAAAGATGAGCCGAGGGCGCAGGACATGCTGGCCAACCTGGATATCTCTAGCGACCAAGTTAAACTGCTGCGTCGTCTGTTGAAACTAGAAAAGCAGTTGCAGCAGGCTGGTATTGCTGTTGCCGCAGATATTCCTTATGAAGAGGCCATGGCGAAGGTGCAAGAAATCTCCAAGCGTATGCAGGAAATCGGTTCGGCAGATGTGACCCACCCGGACCCTGCGATTCAGAAGCAGCTTCGTGAAGAGTACTACCGTCTTGAACAGGATATGGAGAAGTACAACACTGCTCTTATGCTGACTGACGAGTACGCTGCTGAAGAAGCAAGGAAGGAACGCGAGTGGGAGGAGGAGAATTATGATGAAAATGTGAAGGCGCTGAAGGCGATTCGGCGGATGATGCCGGTTGACGTGAAGAAAATGTCCGAAGCGGATCTCCAGACTGTCAAGTCACCGACGGGCAAGACACTTCCTCGTGATGTTGCTCGTAAGTTCAAGCGAACGAACGTGCTGGAACTGATTCGTATGGACCCAGCAGATATTGCCAAGAATCACCCGTCGCTGCTGGAAAATCTGCGTGTTACAGGTCTCACAGTGACGGAGCGTCGTGCGTTGCACATGCACTTGCGCGACGTGGCGGAGACGTGGAAAGCCCAACAGGGTGAAGAAATGACAAAGAAGAAGTTCGAGTGGTTTAAGACGCTCAAGGAGACATTCAAGACCGTTGTGAACTCTTACAACAAGCACGTGAAGCAGTACGGACCGGCAGATAACCACCCCTACGCCACACGCGACGACCCGGACATCGGTTGTCCTATGATTGGCAAGCAATGTCCCATCAAAGCTAACCGAGCTCCTGCGTACGATCAGGATCTGGGATACCCCGATGGAGATGTTTACATGGAGTCTACGGTCCAGAAGGGTAACCCCGATGATGCTGGTGCACGAGCTCTGGCCGAAGCGCAGGAATTGGCCCGAGCGAAGCTCGCTAACTCTCGTGCTGACGCCTTGAAGAAGCACTACCGCAACGTTCGTCTTGTTGCTGAGGCCAACGGTGCATGCGAATTGATCGACACATCGCTGGATCAAATCGAGAACCGGCAGTTGCTCTGGTTCCAAGCAAGACTCAAGCGCCGGCTGGAACGTACGGAGACGGCTGCAACAATCAAGGTGGAGCTGGCAGAATTTGGCGAGCTGGTGAACGAAATTCGTCTGGCAAGCTTGAAGTTCGCCGAGCGTTCGGGTATGAATCTGTCCGGTAAGCGGGACGCTTCACGAGATGCGAAGGATACGCGTTCATCTATCGAGTGTAACCTGGTTCTGCTGTACTGCGATGCGGTGGCTGACTGCTTTGACGGCATGGAGGAACGTATGGACGAGGTAAAGGCAAGTGATAAGCGGCTGCGTTCAGCTATCCCCGTGATTCGCGGCCTTCTGAAGGATCTGGGCGAAAAGAGTCGTATCACACTGGACTCGCTGAAGGACAAGGGCCCACCTGTTAACCGTCGCGTGAAGACGAGAACTGAGATCATGAAGGAAGCCAAGGAGAAGAACAAAAGTGCTGCTGCGCCTGCAGAAAGTGAAGCGGCCGAGGAAGCAGGTCCTGGTCCTGGTGGTCGGGCACCGCATCCAATGATGGCTGCCAGAGGTAGGGGACGTAGTGGTCGTGGTGGTGGACGCAATGACCTGTTTGCAGCGATTCAGGGACGTGGAGGTCGCGGGGGCGACGATGATGGTCCTCCAGGACCCCCTACTGACTTCCTGGCATCAATTCGCGGTCGTGGTCGCGGCAAGCCGGGAGGTCCTGGACGTGGCGATCTGTTTTCTGCGATCAAGGCACGTGGTGGTGGTGGCGATGATGGTGGGCGTGGTGGCCGAGGTGGCGACTTGATGTCAGCAATTCGAGGCCGTGGCCGTGGAGGAGGAGGAGGAGGTCCTGGACGTGGCGACCTGATGGCTGCTATTGCTGCACGGAAGAAGGAGTAGATAACTAGCCCCTTGTGATAGAAAGGAAAGCGAAGTAAAAGTGAAAAACTGATTGCAGCGTGGTTGGATTCCACACAGATTCGCGTTGGTGCCTGTAGCTAGTAAGGAGAGGAGAGGAGTAAAAACAAGAGAAAATAAAAAGAGAAAGATGAAAAGCAGTGCTTACAAGCGCTTGCTAGTTAGTCATTGCGGAACTTTGGTTCCGCCTTGCTCATGATAGCACCGACAGCCTGTACCAAGTCGTCACTGTACAACACGGCGGCATTGTGGTAGCGGACTTGCTCCAGTGAGTCCTTCGTCGAGTGGTCCCGTTGGTAGTGGATGGTTTGTTTAATGCCGCGAATAGTAAGCGGGCTCTTCTTGGCAATGGCCTTGGCTACATCCCCCACATGGCTCATCAGCGTCTCCTGGTCAGGTAAAGCTTTGAGCACAAGGCCAAGTTTTTCTGCTTCGAGTCCACCGAAGTTGCGACCCGTGAAGGCAAGTTCTTTGGCTTGACGCTCACCCACTAGCTTGGGCAGACGTTGGAGCGTGCCAACATCAGCGATAATAGCCAGATCTACCTCCTTCACCGAGAAAATAGCACTCACGTCCGAGTAGCACAGATCACAGGCAGTGATAAAGTCCACACCAGCACCAATACAAGGCCCGTGCACTGCCGCAATGACAGGCACCCGACAGTTCTCTGGAGCGGAGATTACCTTCTGAAACTTATCGATGACTCGCATCAGACGCTCTCGCTTGCGTCCTTCACAAGACTCGTCCATTGTGACCTTTTGCATCTGAGCAAAAACGTCCAGATCCATGCCGCTTGTGAAGCCGCGACCTTCTCCAGACACCACGACAGCCTTGACGCTTGGGTCCTGTTCCACCAGCTCGAAAGCTTCCGCTAGCTCCACCCACATCTGCATGTTCATGGCGTTCACGACCTTGGGGCGGTTGAGCTTCAAGTGCAGCACCCCAGAAGAAGCATCATCGTTGTCAAAACCCAGCGACAGCGTGTCAAACTTTGTGGACGCCACGTCCAGCGCCTTCGGAGACCCAGTCATCCAGTTCACGAGGTGCTCATGGTTGCTCTTGGATGCAAAGTGACGTTGTAGCACAGCGGTACTTTGGCGAGGGCGCAGGAGAACATTACGGAGAGCGAGCATGGTGCAAAGCGAGTTGTGCGTTGATGATGCAGTCATAGGATTCCGACGAGATAATGACGTGAAATGAGTGATGTAAACCACATAGAGTGAATCTGATTGGCCAACTACGTTGAAGTTGAGTCTATAGGTAACGTGCGGGTTTCTAAGAGCTGTAAAGGCTCAGTCTCGTATCGCGTTCTTAAGCAGGTCGGAAGATTTCTCGTAGGCGTAGAAAGTCACTGCGTTGCTGGGAAATGCTCGCAAACAAGCAGTGCCCAATCCGCTGAAGAAGATTCGCCAACCACCGATACGATAGAGCTGACGGGCCTGGTAAGCGATTTTGTGCTCTCCTGGCTTGTGGTTGACTGGAAGCGTCTGGATCGCAGACTTGATCACTGTTTTAAAGCATACAAACATGCAGCACATGGTTAGCCGACACCGTACTATCCTTACTCACCGACATCGAACAGCCTGGAGTTCCGAGATGCACAGCGAGCAGATGTACGCACCATCAAAAGGATAGGAAACCACCCAGGAAGCAACACCAGCAACACCACCCGCTGTGAGCATGGAGGTGGTGGGGCTGATGTTACCGTCGATCATCGTGCGCTTGGTGTATTCGTACAGCCAAAAGTAGACGGCGAACGACGGCACCTCACGCCACAGCGTGCATGTGAAGCCGAGGAAGAGTCCGGGTGTGCCTCTGGCTTTGAAAATATGCCGGATACAGTCCATCGGTCCTCGGTATTGGCTACTTCTGCGTCCATCTTGCACCTGAAGTCGGCATTTGATGAGCTCTGCAGGGGCAAGTGGAACGGTCTGCCAGAACCCACCGACAGCTCCAGCATAGAAAACGGACTTCAGCGTCGGGTTCTCCGCATTGTCGTCGATCATCTTCAACGTGCGCTCATAGACTGCGAACATGACGGCATTGGTAGCCGCGCTACCAACCACGGGCGACGTCATGCCCTTGAAGAAGCCCGAAAAACCCTCATGCTTCATCTGCACACGAGAGGAAAAGAAATCCCGCCCGTCAGTTCTTCGCGATCCTATTCGAATGGTAAGAAGAGGCTCTAACGTACAGTCTGGCGAGCACAGTCGAATGCACCATTGTAGTACTTGCTGTACGTCTGCAACCGCACTTTAACCTGCAGATGATGATACACGACGTCACTCAAGAAAGTGGAGGCCAAACTGTAGATTCAGACTCACAGTGTCGAACGGTTGTCCAACGACAACACCCGCGATGCCGCCGACAGTGCCGGCAGTCAAGTCAATCAGTACCGAGTACTTCTCCACGTTCTCCGCCATCGGACTCGGTGCTTGCGGCAAATCAACCGCTACTGACGTACATCTGCGCCATTGCCGCAATACTCAACACTTCCGCGGTGCGATTGGCTTAAAATGCGTTTTTCGTAATTACGTTTGCCACTCTTTTTACACACTGTACACAATATTGTGTAACCGGGGAATCCGCATTGGTTGGTTGGCTGGGGCTCATGGTGTTGTGGTGACCGCGTATTCTGGTTTTCCTACAAACCTCGCCGCTTATTTCCCGTGAAGATCCGCACTCGCCGGCAAGCTTTCTAGACACTTATTGTCAACATGTTGGTCCCCAAGACGAACCGTATCGCTGTGTACTCGTACCTCTTCAAGGAGGGCGTGATGGTTGCGAAGAAGGACTTCTCGCTGCCCAAGCACGAGGCCGTGGACGTGCCCAACCTCCAGGTCATCAAGCTCATGCAGTCGCTCAAGTCCCGCGGCTACGTCAAGGAGACGTTCAACTGGCAGTGGTTCTACTGGTACCTCACGAATGAGGGCATCGAGTACCTGCGCTCTTACCTGCACCTGCCCGCTGAGATCGTGCCGGCCACGCTCAAGAAGCAGGCCGCTCGTCCCACGCGCCCGCAGGCCCCGTCCGCTGGCGGCTTCGGCCGTGGCCGTTTCGACAAGGAGAAGGGTGTCGGCCCGTCGGGCGACTTCAACCCGGAGTTCCGCCGTGGTGGCCAGGACGGCTACCGTCGCGAGGCTGCTAACTAAGCAGTTGCAAACCTCGAAGGAAAGCGAGACGGGAGTATTTAAATCAATAAATCTCCTCTGATTGTCGGCTTCACGAAGAAAAAACGATCTCTATGTTATTTCTCGTATTGCTAATGTAGGTAAACTTACATTTCTTTTAGCGATGTCAAGACTTTTTACCAGGTGACGCTGTGTACTGTTGGAGCATTTGCCGCATGGCCTCAAGTTTCTCGGTGTCGGACAACGCACTTTTGACGCGTATTGCCATGATGACGCGTTCGCCAGCGTAATGTAAATCCTTGTGCACTGGCGTGTGTTCTTTCGTGGACTCGGGTGAAGAAGCGTACGGGTTTGAGCTTGTAGACGTTGCCCACTGGCTTGGCTCCTCGGAAATGGAGCTTCTTCGTGCTGTGTGATCAGTGCATTCGGTAACACTACGTCGAGACAAGAAGCTTCGAACGTCAGTGCGCTCCATATAATTGCTTTCACGTCTAATAGGCTGAAGAGCAAGCCCGATGTAACGGTAGTCAAGTGGCCTAGCCTCTGCGTTAGAGGGCTCAAATTTTTCAAGCCTTGCCGATGTCACACGATCCGATCTATTGATTTCAGTCTAAGCATGCAGAGCACAAGCAGCACAGCGAGATTAATGCACAGTACCGTAAAAGGTGGAATGAGATCGCCTAGTACCATTGGTGTTGACATCATTGCTTCCAGTTCTTCTAGGGGTGTTTTATTTTGCTACATGTACACAAATTGACTCAGCGCTGTGAGGATCGTAATGCCCGTAGCATGAGAAGTACCTCGTTTCGGAGATTTGGATCCGCCCCAAGGTTTAGCAGCATTTCCATGACCTTGACGCTCTTACCACGGACTGCATTCGCAAAATTGGTGAGTAACCAAAGCCTCAGCCCTAAGCAGTAGGCCTTCTACCTGCTTTGTGCAACGGGGTGTCTTGGTTTTCGCTGCGAGAGTTGATGTCTACCTTGGCAATAGAAACGAGATAACGCACAACCTCGTCGTGATCTTTTCGGCAAGCATGATGTAGTGCATTGCGGCCGTTGGAATCTATTGCTGTTGGTGATCCTCCTACTTTGATTAACTCCTTGATGCACTCGAGCGCTCCAACGTAGGACGCTGTAGACCAAAGATCTTAAGCTCAGCAACGACCACTGCAAGCACCGATATATCACTTATTTACCCCAGTGAATCGCATTCATTCCAAATCGCTGCAGAAGTTTCGAGCACTCAGAATCGACTAATACATTCCGAAGATGGTATTGCATCTAGCTTTACTCACATCCTTTGCGTTTGGATTCATCTTGCCCTTGGTGATCATCTCTCGTAGCTTGACGAGGTCTGATGAGATAGCATACCGCACGAACTCGGCGATTTTCTCCTGCGCTCGGTCCTCCGCTTGCATTCTTCGTCTTGACGCACAGGACCCCATGACTTCTGCAAAATGCATGCGCTTACTTTTGTGCAAGAATAGATGATGGAAAAATCGAGTTTACACGTTCGAGCGACAATTAACCATAACTGTATTCGTTACTACTCGACGGATTCTTCATTGCCATGAATCCAATCTCCTACTCCTGCTACTTCTTGGTGACGCATCAGCGTTGTTCTTTTCATTAGTGTTCAAACTAGTGCAATACTACTACGTTGCAGTACGTAGTAGCATTACCCAGTGTTCAAGACATGCATGAGTGTTTTGTTGAGTGTGTTTGCTACCATGGTTAGTCTCCAGCATTATTGTCGAAGTGACTAGCAAAAAAGATTGGGAATATGGTGCCATCAATCGGTTGGAGCAAGTTTTCCAGCGAGGCAACCGAAGTCACCAGGCGGTCCAGATGCTCAACAACCAAGACTTCGCTATTCAACTGTTTGCTTCGCTTGTCCCTCACAAAAGCGCAGAGCTTGCACGCGACTTCCACCGCCTTTCGACAGCAGGAGACACGCACTCTCCACATCGGGGCGAGATGCTTGACCCTGGGATCCCCACTGTGAAAGAGGGATCTCGCCAGAAGTCCAGTTGGATGTAGAATTCAAGCGCACGCACAAATAACTATCAACCGTCGAAGTTTCATTCCGCTAGGAAAAATTGAACTGCTTTTTTTTACTGCTTCCTCGACACTTGAGACCTTCCTCCCAGCCAGTCGTTTTGCAGGATCATCCATTGGATGATGGTAAATAAGCCAATCGAGTACGTTCTATTTAACAAGAAAAATAACAGTTAGCACTTCATCTGTCTAAGTTTAGTGACACACACTAAAACGGGGTGTCTGACCGATTTTGCGAAAAGTTAATTCCACAGCTGGAACAAGTGGGCCACTACCACCACAGTGGCGGCTACGATACTTTATGAAGGCCGCATGAGATCAAGACCACCATTGGTTCGGGTGTCCTCTGGGGACTCTGGGGACACTATATAATTACTCGACATTCTCTTAAGTCGGGCCTTTCAGCATCTCGCGATTTAAACGCGAGATTACACGTTGTCATTCACATCGTTGAGGAAGGCGGCGAAATTATTAACCGCAGTTGGCGCTGAATGCAAGGCTGATCAGGCTGGATCACAGGCTGAGCACCAGCAGGTTCGTGCCAGCTGCACCACCTCGCCACGCAGCACAGACTTCGTGGCTCTTCGAGGCGTCCTGCAAAATGTCTTCACCAGTTGGCGCTGCGAAAAAAAAAAGCAGTACAGGGTACGCACGCTCCCAAGTCGGTTTTGTTGGCCACCAATGGTGGCTGCTCGCTCACTGCTGCCAGTGAGGCAACCTTCAGAGAAAGTGGTGGAGCTGAGCTTGGGCGGGTGTCTGGATTTCTAGTATTTTCGTCGGCTAGAAACCTGAGCGGTAATAATACCGTGAACGGACCCAAAGAGAAGCAGCAAGCAATTATCGCCATGCGACGCTGTTGTTGGCCTCACCGGAACACTTGAAATAGGTCTGCTGACCATTTTTCTATTTTTCTGTAAAAGTTACGGGACAAAAAAATCGTCTAATCGATGACTTGGCATTTGTAAGGCAAAATGAACCCGTCGGGTTTCGGGTTCAAACCCGCGGGTCCTTTTGAAAATAAACCCGAAAATCCGAATTTCCGGCTCCTCTCCCTGGTCCGAGTGTTTGTATGGGCCTCACTAAGGTTTAGTATCAGACCAGAGACTTCCGCGTCAAGGTGCAGTGGCTTGTCCGCGCGTCGTACCGCTCTCGTTAGTTGCCTATCGGCTGCTCCCCGCGATAGAAAAGATAGACCTCCTTCGACTCGCGTGGTCCCGCCCAAAGTGGCGTAGTAGCATCAGCTAGAAACTCATGACGACCTCCAGCACCGTCTCGACGCCCTGCTCGCGGCCGCCACCGGAGCCTCCGCTGGTGCGCACAACTACCGAGCAGCGCCTGGATGCACGCCGACGCTCAGTAACTAAAATTACTGGACGCAAGCTCCGTGTGCCGCGTAAATTCGTGGTCACCGACGTGCCCGACACGCCTGAGGAGCCCCGAGAGGACGACGAAGAAGACAACAACAACAATAACAACTACGAAGACCTATCGGCCTCCAGCTCGTCCGTGCGCAAGGGTAAGACGCAAGTCAGAGGTCGCTTCACCATCACTGATCTGTCCCCGGAATCGCCTGAGGCGTCACCTGAGCGGGAAGACCTATCGGTGTCGATGGGGCCGACGCCCTCGCGCGCCCTCGAGGCCCCGCGACGACAGGCGTCCAGGAGAATGTCAACTCGGAAGCCATTCCAGTCAGCGGGCGACGTCCGCTCCTCAGTCGGTCTGACGAAGGCGAGGCTTTCTCTACATCAGCAACAGCAGCAACAACAGGAAGCACCGGCATTTGCGTCTTTCCAACGGCCCGCGGCGTCTTCGCCTTCGTCGCGTTCCATGCGCGCGACGTCGCCGGCCCGACCGATGAGCAACCAGATCACCCACCAGAACAACAACCAGAGCCAGACGGTGTTTGACCACCACTTGGAGTTCCTGGAGAAGGAGACGCACGAGATGAAGTCTGTTCTGGAGAAGATGGTGGCTACTAATGCCCAATGGATCGAGGCTCTGACCTCTGCTGGACTTGTCCACAGTGCGCCTAGATTAAGCGAGGCCTCTATTTCGGAACCAGTGACCCCTGTGGAGACGCCCCTGGAAAAGAAGTACCGTGAAGTCGAGAAGGCGTACACGGAGCTGCAGGCCAAGTACGAAGATGTGTGTCAGAAGAGCGAGCGCCTAGAAGTGAAGAACGCCATGCTGGAGATCCGTCTTCAGCAGCAGATCAACCGCTCGACGATGCTACGATCGCAGCTTGACAAGCTGACTCAGTACACGGAGAACCTGATTGGCGAGTCATCGGAGCCAACGCTGCACGACTACAATTCGGACTTGACCTCGATCTTTGGCGAGCAATCAGAGGCGCATTCTCCCACTGCGGATGAGATGACGAGTGGCGGCGAGTATGGCTTTAATTATGACGTGGTGAAGTCCCGACGGCAACGTTGGCGTGGCGTGGATGAAGAATGCATGTCGGACACGAGCACCGAGGGCGAGTCGGTGAGGAAAACCTCGTCGCCTCCGCCTTACGAGCAGGATGATGGCAATAACCGGTACTTCAGCGACGTGGAGCTCACAACTGCAGACCTCACCGACCTCACCTCTAGCAACAACAACGACAGCTCTACAGCTCTGGACTCGCTGCTGGATGCTCAGTGCAGCCAACTGCGTCAGTCTCTGCGCTCGAAGGACAGGGCGGATGGTGATGATCACGTGTCTGTGATTGAATCGCTGGATTCGCTGGCTGTGTGTCCATCGGTCACCAACTGCGACGAGTACGAGGGAGACAATCAGATTGGCCACTTAGGACCGCTGTCGAATGGACTGAAGTCCGATCTGCTGGAGCACAGCAACTCTGTAGCTTCACTCAACTACTCGACAGTATCGTCAACCTCGTCGTTAGCTGGCTATGGTCTCCACTTGGCAACCATGGCCCAGTCCAAGTCTGGATACTACGCCAGTGTGGCTGCTACCAGCTTGTTTGGTCCACACCCGGAGCCGTACCCGACCGCCTCGAATCAGCAGAACACCCGACAGGATGACGACACGGTGTACAACGTTCTTAGCCCGGAGAACCTTCGTTTCCACGACTGCCAGTCTCTACTTCAAGCCGCCGAAGAGAGGAACGCACAAACGTCAGCCACGCGACGTGGGTTCCCCTTTACGACGAGGAAGAAGGCCCATTCTTTGCCGGGGGCGAATGAAGTTCCCGAGCGGACACAATCGACTGGCAGCTTGTTCCAGCGGTTTGCTGTGCGGCGGCGATAGCCTGCTTTCTCCGTTCCAGTCTCATATCGTCCTGAAGCCCCTGCATTAGACGCAGATGCAGGGAGCTCCCCTTGTTTCCATAGCAACCCCCCAGTACCAGTAGTGACGTCTGTCGCCAGCATTCAAACCAGAAACAGCTCGACCGCGTTGGCGACATTATGAGGAAGAACACGTGGCAGCTCGACCCGAGGGCTCCTGCTTGTCGCTTCCTATGTGTTTTGGCAGTAGTGGCACATTAGCACAGCGACTCTCCGAGAGCGCATCGAAGTATCCAAAGAACTACTTCCACAACAACGTTCTCACTTCAACGTTTCGCTCAACGTTTTCTTTTTGTGCTCAGCAATAATGGATATTCTCGCTTCTGATTGGTTGAAATTATAGTTACACGTTTGAAATTTGAATTTGAGATCGGTCTGGCGGCCATGGCGGCCGCAGGGCGATGGCAGCGCGAGTACGAGCGCGACTGGCGCCACTACGCGCGTCAAGTGATCGCTAACCGCTTCGGCAAATACGCACTGCAATGTTCTCCAGCCGTGACGCAGGAGGACGAGCGTCAGCTTCGAGAAGTGCTGGCGTCGGTGGGTATCAAGCACGCTCCGCCCAACCATAGTCGATGGCAGGCGCCTATCCCCGCGTCACAAACGCTTTCAGCGCCGCAGGACTCGATTATGTCGGAAGGATCATACGTCTACAGCACCCCGCCGTCGCCAGACAGTCAGAGCATGTTCCCGGCGTTCAGTTCGCAAGATTTCGCGTCCCAGTCGACCCCTCAACGCCGCGTGAGTGCCTCGCAGCGATTGCAATTGCGAATGGGCGATGTATCGCCTATTGCAGACAATAGACGCACTTCGATTGAGTGTGCAGGCACAATTTCGCCGTCTTTAGGAGCTGCAAAGTCACCCTGGACACCCGGTCAATGGTCTCCGAAACCTGCTAGAAAGACGCGACGAACCCCTCGTCGGTCACTGGAACCGAGTTTCAGAGAAGATCTGGATGTGTCGATGCAGTCGATGTATTTGAGCGACGACGAGAATGAAAGGACTCACATGGATGAAGAGGTGGAGGTGGAAGACACACAGATGATCGATATGTCTGAAGCACATGGGGAAGAGGAAAAGGCTGCGGTGGCGAAGGAAGCAGATTGTGAAGAGGACAAAGAACAAGTGCAGATTATCGAGTGTGAAGATAAAGATGTGGATGACAAAGCTGTAGTAAATCTGGTAATGGGCCATAACGATTCTGAAGAGCTGAACGTATCTAAGGAACTGGTATTTAGCAGTGATAGTGAAGAGGATGATGGCAACGAGAAGGCTGGGCCTGAAGAAGAGGACGTGATCGAGGTTGAAAAAGCGAATGTAAATACGCCAATCGTTCCTGAAAGCGATGACCATCCTGTTCATCAATCGCCTCCATCCGAAGATACAACTAAGAGGCCGCCATGGGCTTCAGAACCCGACTATGAGTTTGGCAATGGAACTGAATACAGTAACGAGGATCAGCAACAAGACGTAGAGATGCTTGAGCCCGAGCAACTTGCAGTGGAAAGTGTCCCTTGCTCCCCAGTTGCAAGTCAACCTGTTGGAGAATCTACTCAAGAAGACACCAGAATCGCAGCAAAGACAAAAAAAGCTTCAGCGAAATCACACAAACCGTCAACTCCCACTTCTGTCAAACGCAAGCGCGTAGTAAAGCAACATAACCCTGCGACTACAAAACGTTCAACCTTCGCTTCACCCACAGCGTCCTCAGCTCGAAGAACATCGTACGCGACCCCCACAGCTTCGTCAGCAAGAAAAACCTCTTATGCAACACCCATAGCCTCGTCAACGAGGAAGCGAACGTATGCTACCCCTACAGCTTCTTCGGCAAGACGCACAACGTTTGCTTCTCCAACAGCTTCGTCAGCAAGGAAAGCGCCTCATGGTTCCCCTACACCTTCGACGAAGAGAGCTGTCCAAACTCCTCCAACTGCTCCACCGGCTTCTAGATCTGCTTTATCGCGGAAGCGTGCAAACCGAGGCGCGCTGCTGCATACTAAGCTACCTCTGGAAATGGAATATCGCTTTGCAAGTGATCGACGCCGACGTCACAGACGTCGAAAATCCCTAGCAGCGAAGCCCGGAGTATTCCCGTACGTCGTGCCAGAACTCATGGTAGAACTGCAACCGTATCAGAAGGAGGCGCTGCAGTGGATGCTGGAGAGAGAGAAGGACTCTGGCGATCCTGTTACTATTGATCAGCAACGCCGCGGAGATGCAACTGCGGTTGACGCTTTGGTTGCGAAGGTATGTGGTGGAGTACTGGCGGATGAAATGGGACTTGGAAAGACTGTATGTTGCCTTGCTCTTATATGCGAATCTCTTCGTCAAGCTCGAGAGGCTGATGCTCAAGCGAGAGGCAAGACAGGCAGCACAGTGCCGCGGCTTACACCTCCGACACTTATCGTAACGCCGCTGTCTATCTTGTCGCAATGGGAACATGAGATTCGAGCTAAAACGAACTTGAGCGTGGTGACGTATCAAGGTACTACACGCAAGAGCTTCCGCTCTGCCACTCAGTTCATGGGAGCAGATATTGTGCTCTCGACATACGACACTCTTCGACTATTGGAGTGCAAGGTTCGAGACAAGGACAGCGACGACGACGGCGGCCAAGAGCATGGTGGTGATACTGATGGATGGCATCAAGCACCTCGACTGACTCCACAGTCTAAGAAGTCTGTGGTGACGTCAAAGCTGCATCAACTGCAGTGGTTCCGAGTGATCTTGGACGAAAGCCACCTGATCTCGAACGCTGGATGTGCACGAGCACGAGCTGCGTTTATGCTTGGCAGTCGACGTCGTTGGTGTGTGACTGGAACGCCCATCCAGAATGGAACAGCAGACTTGGCGGCGTTGCTGCAGTTTGTAGGACTTGGCAACCGTGCTCATGCTCTATCTGAACGAGAACTAGGTGCACTGGTGCCTCGCGTTGTGATGCGCCGACTGAAGTCTACACTGGACGCGCGTTCAAACGCTCCTATCCTGGAGCTACCAGAGAAAACCGAAGAGACTATCGAGTTGGAGTTCAATTCAGATGTCGAGCGAGCTCTGTACATGCTGTTGCATCGCTCTACTAAACGACAAGTGCTTCGGTATTTACAGTCCAAAGAAGCCAAGCAGAATCGGCGAGTGCCTCTTACTACTCCTACAAAAGATGGCGAAGAACGACCACTGTTCATGCACGTGTTTGAGCTTATCCTACGACTGCGTCAAGTGTGTGATGCCTGTGCTTTGGTGACTGCAGACCCGTTGGCAGAAGTACAGACACGAGCAGATAGTGCTGACGCATTGGTCGGCGATGGCAGGGACGGTATTTCTCCATTCTCAACTGGAGAAGCTGAACTTTTGAAGAGCCTTCAAGAACAGCGATCGGGTACTGATACTGTACCCGGATGTGGTCCCTTGGAATCGACAAAGCTGACAGCATTGATGAAGGAACTGAATAAGGTGCGAGCCCGTCGAGAGCGAGTGTTGGTTATCTCACAATGGACGAGTTTTCTGGATATGATTGCAGAGCGTCTGGAGGTTCATAATGCTCAGTGTGAAACGCGAGCTTTGTCGTTGGAAGACGCATCAGAGACTGGGAATATGGCTATAGCATTCGCTAAGCTGGACGGTAGGATGCCAGCCAAAGATCGCGAGCAGGTTGTGCGGAATTTCCAGCAGCAGGAAGACAGTCTCGATAGAGGACCAGTCGTTGGCCCACCGCTCGATGTGTTGCTACTCTCTTTGCGTACTGGAGGTCTGGGATTGAATCTTACAGCTGCTGCACACGTCTTCATCATGGAGCCTAGCTGGAATCCGAGTCTTGAGCGTCAGGCTATCGATCGTGCACATCGTTTCGGTCAGACGAGGGAAGTTCGCGTCGTTCGCTTCATCGTTAAAGGCTCAATTGAAGAACGTGTAGTGGAATTGCAGAACAAGAAGCGTCAGCTTACAGCGGCTTTCTTGGGCGATGACAATGTCCTGTCTAGTGCGAAGAAGAACCGACTGCGTGAGACTCGACTGTCGACTGGAGACCTCAAAAGACTATTCTTCACCCAACAGGAACAAGAAGAGGAGCGTCAACGTCACCAAAAGGACCAGAATGAGGCTCAACATGCAGACAACAGCGACGGAAGCGTGACGTGTATTGAGATTAGTGATGAAGACAGCGAGTAGTTTAGAGTATAAATTAGTTTTATTTTTGGCTTCCGATTGTTTCCTATCTACAATTTTGTGTTTTTTTTCCTATTGTGTTTGCATGCTCAACTTACGCTGACGCTTGTTGGCTCGCTTGGTATCGGGCTCGGACCGCGCTGGTGATGACGCAGTCCGAGTAACACCGATGATAGATGAAGAGGATGCACTCGTTCGCACGGGTGCAGGGGGTGCTTGTGAGGGAGAAGGAGAGAGCGTCTCGGTGCAGATGAGGTACGAGTCGTCCAGGTTGCTAGTGTCTGATGAGACCTCGTCATCCTGGAACGACGGACCTTGTTCGATGGCCGTGGGGCTCTGGGTCAAAGCCTTAAGAGGCTCCACCATCTCAGAGATAGCAGCTTGTGAAGTCTTGGACCGCGAGGAGGCGGGGGTCGTGCCGAAGTAGGCGCCACGCACAATTTTGAAGGCTGCGCGGTAGGCGCTTTCGACGATTTTGACTGTCTTGAGAGACTTGAGAACCTGTGCGACTGTGAGGTTGTACTCTGACTTGGCTACGAGTTGGACAGCGGCCTTGGCTAGACTTGAGGCCGAGCAGTCGAGAGACGACGTGTCCTCGACCACACGCTCGAGGAGATTGAATACAGAGGCGACGCAGTTGGCCCGACGGTCGGCGTCGTTGTCAAATGGGAGCTCGTTCACGAAGTCTCTGGCCATAGTGAAGACGTTCGGGGGGTTAAAGCGGAAGCCGATGAGACGCACGAGTTGTGCCTCGGCGTCGACCATTTGTGCGCGTGAGAACTTGCGCTCGCACATGAGTGCCATCTCCTCAAGGAGAATGGGCTTACCCTCGTGCATCTTGCTGGCCGTCCACATGCAGATCATACCCAGGAGCTGCAGCGTCACTCGGTCCACCGAGTGTACGCTGAGATACTGGTCCAGGAAGTGTAGGGCACCGTAAACCGTGTCCATCTGCAACTCGAACTCCTTCGCGGTCTCAAACATCCAGCGACATACTCGAAGACGCCAGGTGGATGTCATACCGTGGCGCTGTACCTCCGAGAGGTACATCGGGTTCCGCAGCGCCGGGTAGTGTTTCTCCTTGAGCAGTGCCCACTGAATGATCTCGTGCGCCTCGGACGTGCACGCCTCGGGCAGTTCATACGGCATCGTGGACACAGGTACAGCAGACATATCGATAGGCATAGAGGGGGACGAACAGACACAGAGAGGAATATACAACACGAGGCTTGCGCAGGCCACGGGAAACAACGGAATGGCGGCAAGAGCGCGAGGAAGAGGGGCCGACACGATGGCCAAGCATCATCGATGCAAACCGGTATTGCCAGCAATATGGGCTGGCGGGCTAATGATCCAGCCCGGGCAGGCAGCAAGCGTCCCATTGGCGGATAGTCGAAGAGAGACTTTGCGCGAATCATATCGGTGGTCTCTTCCACATTTTGACCAGTCGTCGCGCTTGGCGCCAAAAATAGCCTGGTTATGCGCGGGTGGGCCACAGTGAACCCATTCGGATTTAGCCCGGACACTCACTGTATTTGCTAATCAGCACACGAGGTGACAGGTGGCGGGGATGAGGAGGGTATTGGTAACCTTGCACCATGATGGCATGGTAGAGCCTTGCAGCAGAGATGACTTGAGGGCTGTAGGCCACGAGGCATTGCTGCAGGAGGCAGAGTCCGCTATTGACCTATCTATATTGCACGCGTCCAGCGGCATGGCGCGCTGCCAGCAGGACTCAAGGGCCCGGGTTGGCCCAGCCATCATAGTGCTACGCCACTTTTCTTTCTCCTTCGATCTGGCGCCAACTCTGGATATGATGCAGCTGCAAATGAGCCCCGAACGGACGCTATTATGTAGGTAGCGACGGTAGGATCGCGCACGGAGGCTCGTTCGAAGCTCTACATGTTTGTTCTGGTGGCGGTGAACTCTTGGAGCACCGTGTAACACGGGCCTCGGTCAATGAAGTCACCACGACGTGTTGTCTTGCATTGAGCAAGGCTCGATGCCCTTGTTGTAATTTTCACGGGAGATTTGCCTACAGAGACCCGAATCGTCAATGCAACCGAGTACAGTACTTCACCCAGTTTTCGCGCCCTCGGACCTTTGATAAACTGCTTAATTTAGTTGCCAAATGTGCTCGTGTGTCTGATGTGTATGCAAATCCTATATAGTTCACTCCCGCGAAAACGGGGTGCCTTCTGTACTGTATAAGTATGTAAAAAAAAATATTAACAGTCGCGACAGTAAGTCCTATTTGTTAGGAAGAAACGCACCAATCGATTCGACAGCACCCGCCTCGCGTGCATGTATTCAAAGTACCCGTAAGCGCGGATAACTACTTTGACAGCTGTACCATCCGCTCATGCTACAAAAATATGCTTACAACAATTTGTTAAAAATATTCTTGAGCAATTATTAATTTTGTAAACGGCCTCCGCCCGTACCCTTCATTTTACTACGGGAGATGTCACGAAAAGTGGTACGGATTAGTCAGTCAGTCTGATAAAACACTCAAACTTCATTTTGCTAAAATATGTATAACATTTCAGATCCTTCAGATCAGTATTTTGAGGGTCACACTCCTGTTCGTTTCGTTAAAACAACAGCTTGCTATACTGTCATCTTTAACAGCACCAATGAGTGGCTGCTACTTAAAATCTGTTGCGGAAATATTGAATAAGCTGTTACGATAAATTTACTGAACACTACTAGTAGTATCCATTATCTAAATCTGAATGCTTGTTGCGTAGAATAGCGCAGTCGAAGAAACAGATTTTTCAGGAGCGAACAGACTGATTATTAGCAAAGCTAACAGTATCTCAACTCCACCTAGCCAACGCATTCGTTCGCGGAATTGCAACGACCTCTAGCAAGTGGTGATCCAGTCACCGTCAGCACCTATTTCAGGAATAAGGAGATCAACGAGGGAATGTGGATCTAATACCGATACCTTGGATAGTCTGTAAAGCTGTTCACCTCGAGTACTCAGTCTCAACAAGTATGTTTACTCTGAAGCGCTCTAATTTGGGAGGCTCTAAACTGTTGGTCTGAGGCATTGTAACGGGGCTAGAGTTACCGTTTTTAGCTTACACTGTAGTGTAGAGGAAGCTCGCAATAGTTAGACCAAGTCTTTGGTTTTTGTCAAATTCAACTCTGGTTTACTTCCTCTGTCCAAGAATGATCGCAGGTTTGTAAAACGTTGGTCATAACTTTCTCAATGTCTGCTCATTGCCGTGCTGATTGGCTTAAAATGATCCTTGTCACTTAGGCTATTGGGCAATACTCGATTTGGCACGATCGGAGCCGTAGTTCAGAAGTAATGGCTCTGAGAAGCTGGCGTTTCCAGCATTTCATTTTGGGGGCACCCGCCACGGCCACAGGAATCTCATTTAGTCCGCGATCTCTATCATGCCAAACCTTACTGATCACGAGCGCTGTGCAATAATCGACGAGCTTCTGACGCGCGTTAGAGGGGGAAAATTAAAGCACGGAGCAAAGGCGTAAGTTGCGAGGAAATTTGGCTGTGATGCGACTGCTGTTGGGCGCCTGTGGACCCAGTACACCCGTACGTGTACGCGGCATCAGCGGAGGTGACTGGCGAAGCAGGATCAAGAGCAAGTCAGGAAGGATGCCAATAGACCGCGATGAAGTTGCCCGAAAGTTGGCCCAGGTTCCCGTTGAAGAGCGCTTTGTTGTTCGACGCACAGCGATCGACGCTGGCATCACGCGGCACTTAGTGACTGCCATGCTCAAGGATAGCCGCTTGCACCGCAGTTCGACCCGAATCAAGCCTGCCCTGACAGCCCAAAACAAGCACATGAGGGTGGAGCACGTTCTCAGCTATATCGACGACGAGAGCCATGAATTCGAAAGCATGGAGAATGTCGTTCATATAGATGAGAAACGGTTCAACCAAGATACAAACAAGCGCACGTACATGCTTCTTGATGAAGAATTGCATCCGCAACGGGACCGCAAGAGTAAGAACTTCATCCCGAAGACCATGTTTCTCGCCGCCGTGGCGAGACCGAGGTAAAGCTGCAATACATCATATTTTGCTACTTTATAATTGACCCCCAACATTTGTTTTCTAGATACGACTTTCATCGGAAGTGCAGATGTAACGGCAAGATCGGCATCTGGGCATTAACCGAGGAATATGTCGCCCAGCGGTCTAGCCAGTATAGACCGACAGGTACTATATGCACGCGCAACATTGAGAGCATTGATCGGGAGGTGTACAAAAGGTTTTTGCTTTGTCATGTATTTCCAGCAATTAAAACCCGGTGGCCTTGTCAGCGACGAGGCACAATTTTATACAGCAAGATAACGCTAAGCCTCATATCTCACCGTTCGACCCCGACATCCTCGCGGCTGGGCTGGAAGGAGGCTGGTCGATCCGCCTAATCTTCCAGCCTCCCAACTCGCCCGACTTGAACGTGTTGGACCTGGGTCTGTTTGCATCAATTCAGTCGTTACAATATCGGATTCCTATCTACAAGTTCACGGATCTGATCGATGCAGTCGACGACGCGTACAAAACGATGAGCGCAGACACTTTAGACGACATTTTCTTGACTCTTCAAAGCTATATGCTCTGCATTCTCAAGGAAGATGGAGGAAATCAGTACAAGCTGCCACATATGGGCAAGGCCAAGCTGCGTAGAGCCAACTGTCTGCCAAGGGATCTGACATGTGAGCTCGAGTTATATCAGAACGCTGCAGAGTGGAGATCGTGGCAGTGTTCTTCTCTGTGGTGAAAACTAATACCCGCTCAATACGATACAAATCCTTAATCACTTTAGATCTTAGCCCTTACATCGTCATATGGCATACCTGCGATCATTTTCGGCCAGAGGAAGTATTTTGGACCAGGGCGGCCTCCTCCCTAGCCTCATGTAAACCACTCAAATGCAGGTCAACACCTGGTTAGTCTATAAGTGGGTCTGGCACCCACTATCAACCAATGAGATAATAACATCTTGACACACGCTAGCCGTGTGTCACTATGTCTACTTATGTAATAACTGAGAGATATCTACCTACTTATGCAACTGGAGTTGGACCCATTACAGGCATCCACGTGTGCTCTCCTTTAAATTCTACAAACATCACTTACTCTTTCTTTTGCTACTTGCTACTCAAGACGACTTCTCCCCTTACTCCTGGGAAGCGCGGAAGATGACTCGACAGATTCGATGCAACCCGAACGTAAAAGTCAAAACATGACGTAAAGCTTTGAAGTGACACACCCTCCACAACAAACACCCATCCTTGTTTAAAATAATGTTTAGATCTAAAATCAAAAGATGCAAAGAAAAAAATTATTCAGGCTCAGCATCTAACGCTGATTCGGCTACACCAGAGGGCTCGCTGGAAGGATCTGGAAGCCTAAAAGCGCCATCGGATTCACGTGGATCCACGGGTAGAAGAACTACCCTCAAAATCCCTGAGCAATGCGCTCGAACTCAGTGCTCTCCCAAGCAAGTATCACGATCTATGTGATAAAAAAATACCGCGCAGTAGTTGAATCGGGAAAGTCATGGTTGATGTGATAATTAACGTATAGTCTTCGACACCCTGACTTAAACATTCGCATCACAGCCACATCCATTGGTTGGGCAAGGCCTGTGATACTGCGGGGGGGGGGGGGGGGCGAACTAAACTTTAGTACAGTATTTTTCTTCCAGCTTGGCGCACACTGGCAATTTTATGCGTTTTCAGACTGTTTAGCAACAAAGCCTCTGATTGCATGTATCAGAACCCCACACCTACAAATTTTGTTTTAAAGAAAACAAATCAAAAGTGAAAAGTTTAAAGAAAAACTACATCGTCGATCCATTCTAGCATCACGCGTTCGTCACAGTACGCCTTCCGTTGCACCATGAGCATAACACAATCTTGATGCAAAGGGTGGTTTATAAGCTCATCGTGCACGTCGACGTTAGGAACGCCGGCAAAAACAATAAGAGACAGCTTTTTTTTACCTGTTGCCGACGCGCAGAGAAATACCGACGCACGGAATCCATATTGTACACATGCTAGGACTTGCTGAGCCCGGAAAGCATGATACAATACTGCTATTTTCAGTTGTCCAGCGCATGCTTGCTCCAAACCAGTAGCAACATTCTAGATCGAAATGTACACATAACTAAACAAATAAAATCTTACATACAAGAAGTAAAAATACGTAGAGAAAAATAAATGTGTATCTCTAAATCTGAGGGATGCTTAGTGCCTCGGTGAGTGATGCGACGTATGGAGATCCTGTTGCGGAGTCTAAAACGCCGCAAGTACTCCACGGCTGTGCAGTCTCTTCTCTCAGAGAGCAATCGTGGCTTGAAGCGTCCACCTACAATCAGGAGACACTCACTAGTGACATACCATGACCGATTGCTTCTCATATCGGTCACCCATTCTAGAAACCTGCTCGTAGTTGGTTAGTACGACAAATTTCGAAAAAAAGTAAATGTCCATACCTCTTCTCAAGTTCTGGATACTTAATAGACGGGCCTCGGCGCGTATCAACCGCAAACGTCTTCGTGAGGCGAGCGGCCTTGACCTCGACTTGAGATTTCGCCCATCGATACAGCGTCGCGCGGTGAATGCTGTACTTCTTGGCGAACTCTGTAGATATTCCATGCGCGTTAGCCTCGTCAATGGCTTTAGATTTCTGACTGTTTAATGCGGTACAGACCGCATTGTTAGAATGCGCGCTTTTTTGTGTGAAAGAACGGTTGGCTTTGAAGTTGGGCATGGGTTCAAAGTTTTCCAGATTTTTTTTCTTATCACTTAATCAGTACTTTTTACAGGGTTGCAGAGATCTTGTGTAGTACAGTACATTCTCCGGATTGTTAGCCATATAGACAACCATTCGTAAGCGCCCCAGCTCATGAGGAACGCCTTGCACTCGTTTCGCGAAAAATCGACTAACGGCCAGTGGAGAGAGAAAAAGAGAGAGAGTTTTTTTTGTTTAATATGTGATGTAGCGGGATCAGCATAATATGCAAGATTGCGGACCCATCTGAATCCAGACAACAACTAGCAGCCCCCCTCTCCCCCACCTCCCCGATGATCCGCAAACCTGTTCAACTTGTGTACCCGTCGGTAGGACAGGAGCTTGTTCTCTGGTGACTGCAGAGAGTGTTCAAGTGGTGAAGTTTGAGTGTCTATGTGAGACGCGACCATTGGGTGGAGTCGTAGTGGAATATCTTCACACTATGTTCGACGTAAGATCCAGACCACAAGCGAGTACTTCAAGCTTGTAGGATCTGGAGGTCTTGATGAGGCAAGGCGGGTGGACGCCTTTATCGTGCGGGGTGTAGAGTGGCCCGGGGAAGTAGTCTCTTCCGAAAGATCTTCCCTGAGCAGCCGAGATTGACCGTTTCGGGTTGGTGTGTGACCTTGTGGCTATCTTCTTTGGTGCCGTTTATCTTCGCTCCTGGCTTGAACCAGATGAGTTGCCAGGAACGTGCACATTTTTATCAGCAGAGATTAGACAGCTAACCCACACGTCAGTACGCAGCATCCACGGCCTAAAACTAATCTTACAATTCAGAGTTATACCCTTCAAGCTATCACCTACGGCATTCAGTGTAAGTGTTTGTTGCCTGCGCTGTCTCTCAAGGATACAAACGGCTTCCTCTTCGCACACATTCTGCTGCTGTCCTAGTAGTATAACACGATCAATGATGCGATTGCGTCTAAAGAAGAATCGTTTATCGGCAGAGGTATTCCTTCACGTTTATCCGTGTTGCCACTTTAGGTCTCGCACAGCGGGGCAGGCATGAGCTCCAGCCGCCCATTCTTGCTACACTTGGTGAACGGTCTTCAGAGCTCTCGCTTGTTTGTATGTTGAAGGCAGTTGCTGCTGCGTAGGAGGTGCGTCTGAAGGAAACGCTGCTGCTCGAGATGTTCCCCGATCCACAGCCATGCGGATAGCAGCTCCTCCCGACGTAAGTTGGGTCAGCACGCCATTAATATTATTTTCTGATACCTCAAGCTCGGTGATCTTACGATCTAAGTGTGCTAACGTTTCCTGACGTTGCTGGTTTAGATGACCCACACTCTATCCTGCAAACGCATTGTCTGCGGCGACTTCTCAGTGAGCATTTTTGCATTCAGCTGTGGCGAATGCGTCAAAGTCGCTGCTGTTGGAGGGAGGATGTGACCACAGCTTGTGAAAGTCGAGCAGAAGCATATTATTCTGGAGAAGGACAACGCGATATTCCCGTTTGTTCCTTTTTCGTGTTTCTTGTTTTAGAGACGACAACAGGGCTTTGATAAGACTATTGCGATGATGTGAATGTGAATTTGCGCCTCGACTCTGCTGATCACTGTACAGATCCGATATCGCATTTACGTACTTCTCAACAGTTGCCACTCTAACCTTGCGATCGCAGCCCTTAACGCGAACCTCCTTGTCTACCTCTCCCTCTTGCAGAAAGTAGTGCATCTTTGATGCAGTAACTTGGAAGCGAGTAGTTTCGTGGAAGCATTTCTTGTCACATCATTCCTTAAATTTTTGTTGCTTTGGGGTGTACGCGAGAATAGTGTTCGCAGGACGTGCTTCACGAGAGCGGTCTAGAGCCGCATTTTCTCATTCTTCAAGCTTTACTTGCAGCTCAAGTGGCTCCTTGACGTCTTTACAACTAAAAACTGCTATGCCTAAACAAGGTGATTATGAAATTCAATAGGTTTGTGCTATCCCGCCACCTAACCTTATGAAGACATCCTTTTTAAGGGTAAATTTAAAAAAATATCACTGATAATTTCTCATCTTCAATGTGGTCGCACCTGCAAAACGGAGAGCGTGCGGGCGAGGACACACGCCGCCAAATCGCGGACCGTGACGTACGGCGGCGTGTAGATCAAGCGGTATCCGCTAATTGCGGAGACTCTGCAGTGCAGTAGATATCATCGTTGGCAACGCTGAGCATCCGCACTGAATACCAGTGGCAACATGCCAGTGCGTGTGCAGCGCCGAAACCGACTTGTTCTTAGCAAACGGGGCGTTTTTGTCGTGCCCTTTCGCCATCTCTCGTTATTTTTTGCAGATCACCACCGCCGTCGGCACTGGCAACTCCGCCGTGGCGTCTCGGTCCTAGAGGTGTGGTCGTGGCAATCCAACTGAGAGAATGTCCGATCAATACGAATCCTTTCGTGCTCCTGCTCCTTGCCATGTGGGCTGCCTCGGGAGCCAAGCATGTGGTCTCCTCTTGCCGTGTTCACAACTGAGACTTATTATTCGTTTGTGCGAAGCGTTTTTCTAGCTGCAGCAGCAGCGCGTCTCAAGCCTATCGTGCTCTATGAGAAAACGCCGACACCTGCTTACTGTTAGGCAAATGCTCCTGCCGCAGATGCGAGAAAAGTTTGGTGCAAACCGCCAGTAAATTCTCCAGGTGAATGCTCGTTCGTCTTTCCATCATCTCTCTATGCAAATATTTAATTCTTCACTGAGTCTAAGTATTGTATGCTCTTTCATACAAAATTACCTGTTTACTCTATTATCAAACGCAACAGTGCACATCGCGCGCTGGCTATTTTTTTTGGTGCCCCGCTTCTGCGACGTCATTCCGCAATTCGCACTCTCACAGACAAGCCTCCTGTTCCGCCCTCGTAGCGCTTGAAGCTCCGCCTTCGCCTCCGCCTTCCAGCCTCGCCGCCCGAGAGAAACAAGTCCGTTGTCTCTCTCTCGTGCCTCTCTCTGTCTTCCGTTTCTTCGCTTCTCGTCTCTACCTGCAAGAAGCCTAAAGCACAGCCCCGCCCATCTGACCCCTGCGTAGCTAAGCTAAAAGAGACTCAAGCACAGAGAGAGAGAGAAAGCATGGGCGCTGTTGACTGGTTTCGCGCGAGCTCGGACAGGGCGGACACCGAGATAGAGAACACCAATGCGCGCAAGAGATCCCCAAGCCGCTTCAGTCGCTTGCGACTGCACGGCTCGGCCATGTTGAACGCCAAGGGTCTGGTGCAGCGCACGGTGGTGACGAAGCTCTATCCGATCGTGCAGTTCCGCCTGTCGCCGCTTCCGTTCAAGCGTGATAGCGAGCCGCTCGTGGTAGAGCAGTCCAATGACTGTGTCGAGCCTGAGATCGAACTGCCAACCGGACTGGAGGCCAAGTGGCTCACCACAGAGGCTTCCGAGCGCTTCGCTGACCAGGTCAAGTGCATGGTTGCGGATGCGAGCAGCACGTTCCAGATGACTAGCGAAGGTTGCGGTGGTGCGTACTTTTTGACGATGGAATCGACTGGGTCTGCTAGTAAGAAGGCGAACCCCATGGGAATCTTTAAGCCGAGAGATGAGGAGTACATGGCGCCCAAGAACCCGCGAGGGTACGTGAAGGAAAACGCTGAGGTGGGCATCACGGAACACCCAGTCAACAAGGGATTCCGCGTTGGCAACGGAGCTCTCCGTGAACGCGCCGCCTATTTGCTGGACAACGCCTACGGCAGCTTTAGTGGGGTGCCTGTGACGAATTTGATGGTTTTGAATGTGAATGGAGAGGAGAAGGAAGGCTCAATGCAGCGCTTCGTTCCCTCTCAGTGCTCGGCTGAAGACATGGGTACACTCAAGTTCGCGATCCCTGAGGTTCACAAGATCGGCATCCTGGACGTGCGTCTATTTAACACTGACCGCCACGCCGGCAACATTTTGCTGAGTGCACGGCCTAATGACCAGACTTTCGCTATGACGCCGATCGACCACGGCTTCTGTCTGCCGTCGTACAAGTACCTGGACGGCGCGACGTTCGACTGGCTGCAGTGGCCTCAGGCTGAGTTCCCGTTTACGTGTGCTGAGCTGGACCACATCGCGTCGCTGGACGAGGCGCGCGATGCGGCCGTGCTGCGTGCTGTTGGAATTGAGGAGGAATGTGTGACGACGATGCGTGTGTGTACGGCGGTGTTGAAGCGTGGAGCGGAGGCTGGATTCTCGCTGTTTGAGATCGGCAGTCTGCTACAGCGCGACGGTGACTTCACGTCCCCCTCGCAGCTGGAATTAGTTGTCGCCAAGGCAGTGGAGATCGTCGAGGACATGGGCATGTCGGAGGATACGGACGGAGTGGATTTCTTTGATGCCATCGTGGCCGAGTCTACTCGCCAGGCCGATAGCATGTTCGAGAAGCAGACCAAGAAGAAAGTGCGAAGCATCAGCTGCTTCAGTTAATGCACGCGCATGCGGTGATGAGTGAGTGTTTTGATGGAAGAAACATGACAAGAAAAGCAATAAACAAGAGAGGAGAGGAAACCGCGATGCTGCAAGGCAATGCGTGAGAACTGAAGGCTGGACTGTCTGAGGTATCAAACTTGATACGCAGTAGTAAGAGGCACCCTTCCTGTGTGTGATAGGTAGTAGTGTACGAATAAGGATGCAAGGACACGCAGAATGTCCCGGGACGATGCAGAAAAGCAAACGAAGCAGAATGAAGAGAAAGGAGGACAAGTGCCACGCCAAAGGCAGGTGTGGCATGTGTAAACCAAAAAAATTATGATTGTCCTTCAACAATTGACTTGCAACCTGTGCAGTACACGAATCCACAACATTAGACCAACTCGAACCGACTTGATCGATGATCAAGCCGGACAATACAAAATGTGTGTCGTTGAAGTTGGTCAGATGCGCATCGCGTTCGTCACGACTCGTGACTCATGACCGATGCAACTTGCAGCGCATTCACCAAGCCTATTTGATCTCAAGAGAATCGCGCTTTGTTGTAGACTCTGATGGCTAGATCGTCTCAACCTTTTAGTCTTTAATACCAATCACCTTTACGAGAAGGCCGTAAAAATAGCGTCCGCATGGGCTCCGAAGATAGCAAGATGTCCGCGGAAGTTTCAGATTCTCGCACTGCTCAGCAGGAGATCCCATTACCTAAAGCAGCTAGCCGACCCCAGGACAGGCCCCAGGCTTCCAGCTGCCGCAATGGGGGTTTCCGACGACAGGGCCAGCATCATTAAGGGTGACGCACTCAAGGTGCTCCCCGAGCTGGATCTCGATGAGGACGACAGCAACGTCGACGAGTCCAAGGTGCCGTTAACGAGGTCGAATGTGTACGCTGACAGTCCACGCGAGGTCCATCTGAGCGAAGGCATCACCGAAGCCGAGATTATCCTTCGTCAACGCGTAGGCATCGCCTTTGTGTTGGGTCTTATCGTCGCCAGTGCAATTTGTGTCATGCTCTTGGGCCTCCTTGGACACGAAGAAAACTACGGGTATAAGATTGACGTCGTTAATATGCCAACAATGATCAACCGAGTACTCATCGTTTATCCGTTCACCACAGTTCGACACCAGCTATTCAACACCACTTTATCGCAGCAACTTCTGCTGATGGATTTAAGAAGAACCTCGAGTTCTACACAGATGTACGTTCGATTCGAAATAATTTCGATATCGATGACTAACATCTTTTTATTGTTCGCACGATAGGTCGTTCGCCACACTGGCAGCACTGGGGACTACGAGATGGCTCAGTTTATCCGCTCGAGCGCTATCAACTTTGGTTTTGAAGAGAGTTCTATCAAAATTGACGAGTTCGAAATGCTCGTCAATGCACCGGAGACCCTCACTCTTGACATTCTTGATTTATCCAAGAACGAGTCGCTGGCTTCATACGATTTCGTGGCCGAACACGCAGCTCGACAAGCCAAACGACAGGCAAAAGGCAAGAACCTGACCAAACCTTACGCAGCGTTCCACTTGTACTCCAAGAACGGCACCGCATCCGGACCGATTGTGTATGCTCACTTTGGCTCATCCGAAGACTACCAAGCTCTGGCACAGAACAACATCAACGTTGCTGGTAAAATTGTTCTAGTTCGCATGGGTGGCGATGTTTCTCTGCCTGCCAAAGTGGTGATAGCCTCCAAGTTCGGAGCTGTCGGTGTACTCACCTACACGTACGTTCAATTGTGACTTAGCTTTTCAATTCGTGGTCGTTCTAACGCTTTCCATTGACTAGTGACCCTGCCGACGATGGTTCTGCTCGAGGACCCACCGCACCCGATGGCCCGTGGCGTCCCAGCTCCACGTCAACGTTCGGCAATGTCTACATGGGAGACGGTGATCCGACCATGCCAGAAGGCTTCTCAGCAACTCGACCCATGGGAACCACTGCAGATCGTCTCTCCATTGAAGACATTTACTCAGTCAACAACACGTTCAACATCCTCCCGCCGATTGTCAGCATGGCGATTAGCGCTGCGGTGGCTCAGGATCTGCTTACCCAGATCGAAACTGCTTCGAAGAAGATAGCAACATTGAAACAGATAAACGCCGCTGACGTCTTCGGAGCTCGATGGGAAGGTGGTGCTCTTGGTGTGAAGTACATGCTTCCAGTAGATGACGATACGTCCAAGTCAGAAGAAGTGGAGATTATCGTGAAGATGACGAACAGCAACGTGTACACGTTGACAACGACGTGGAACGTGGTGATCACCGTGTACGGATCTCGTGAACCGGATCGCCATGTACTCGTTGGTGCCCCACGTGACTCTCTGAACGCCGGCGCTGTAAGTCCAGGATCAGGTAACGCTGTATTCCTAGAGGTTCTTCGAGCTCTTGGAACTCTTGTCGCCAATGGATGGACCCCGTACCGTACGCTGGTTCTGGCTTCGTTTGGTGGCGAACAATTCGGCTCCGTAGGCAGCTCACACTGGATCGACCGATACCCGAGTTTTGGTAGTGGGAACGCTGGGCGTGGCGTAGTTTACTTGCATCTGGATGATGTTGTGCGTGGTGCTGGAGCCCTTCGCTGTAAGGCCTCGGCTACGATCCGCAAGAACATCTATCTCATGAGTGCAGCCGTGGCTCAACCGAAGAAACAGGACTATCCCGACGTCGACAGTTTCTTCTTTAGCAACGCATCAGGTGCTTCAGCTGTAGCTGCTGGCAGCTCAAGTAAAGACGAAGATGATCTCGATATGCTGCCAGTCAACGCGACTTTCTCAAGTAACGAGCTACCCGGTAGTGGCAACTCCGTCTTCGCTTATTGGCTTGAAGACGCTAACAAGAAGAATCCTAGCGGTGTTGAATTGGAGCTCCCGCCCATGGAGCGTAACCTGGGTGCACGTATTTCACCATTCCTCGGACGACTGGGCATCCCGTCGCTCGAACTTGGCTTTGACGGAGGCTATTTCGGCGTGGGTAATACCGGTGCTGATATTCCTGCCTGGATCTCGCACTTTGCCGACCCTCAGTTCGCTTTCCACCGTGCTGCTGCTGAGCTTTATGGCAGTATCCTCTTGTCATTCACGGACGCGCAATTCTTGCAGTACGACTTCACTGAATTATCACGAGAACTCCGTCGAGGCGAGGCTTTCTTGGAAGATGCACTTGCACGCGAAGGATTGATCGAAGTGGTGCCTCTGGGTCGTCTGCATAACGCCACTACTGCTTTCGAAACCGCTGCTATCAGTGTCAATCACGAAATGAACGTCATTTCCGATCAAGAGCACGACTTTAGCCGCATCAGGTTGTTCAACAATCGTCTACTACGTGCACAGCGTGCATTCCTACTGCCTTCCGGTCTCACGTACATGCCTTGGATCAAGAATGTAAGTGTGTTGGTGCCAAACTTAAATGCTCTGGAAGTCTAACGTTTGGTCTTGTTTTGTAGGTACTGTACGGCATTTCCGAGTGGGATGACTACCGAGTGAGTCTGTTCCCTGGTGTCACGCACGAACTCAAACGCGGTAATGCCATGACTGTGAGACGAGAGCTTGTACGACTTTGCATCACCATCGAAGCAGCTACGGATATCCTCATGAATGCACCCGATGAAGAGTGAAGTTACCTTGCATTTATCACTCCACGCCCTAAAAACAAATACATCCCAAATATTAGCCAACCAGCTCTTCAACTTCATAGAACAGCGTTGATCTGACGGAAAGCCAAGTGTTTAATATTTTCTAGCGTGGATCTTTATCCACTAACAAATAGTGTCGGCTGCAAGGTATACACACTGTTCGTGTTGCCTGCGCCAACACCGATACAAAATCACCTCAAGGTTAATACTTGCTGGAGCGGTCGAGGATCGTGAACTTCATCGCGATCAGAGTCTTGAGGGTCTCTTTGGCGATGTTGATATCGTATTCCTTTTCATCATCTGTGAGGAACACGTACGGCACCAGACACGGGTGTTTCTTCGCGCTATCGTCACGCTGTGGGCCGTAAGTCCAACCTTCATCCATTCGTCCCTTAGCCCACACTTCGTGTGCGTTCTCAGCCAGCAAATCCACAAGACGCAGTAGTCTCGGAGGCAACTCGACCGTCGTCGTGTCAATAGGAAGAGGACGATACACTTCCACATTTCCCTCTCCATAGGTCGTGAAATAGGGAGAATCGCCCATAAGACTATTGCGTCGGAAGCTCATAGCTTCACGCAATAGGGAAGGCACGGGTTTGGCCGGTGTTCCAGGGTGAGAAGCCGTTCCTAACTCCTCGAAAACAGCAGCGTCATTGGCTCTCGGACTCGTTGAATCCGAGCCGCCACTTATCAATGAACTGTTGCTTCCTCCGAGCCCGTCCGCGATATCTGACATCATCGAAGCCGACCGGGACACGGAGTCATGGAACGAGCCGCTGTGAGAGCGCTGGTGGTTGGCACGAGTGATCGTGTAGTTCATAAAGACAATCGTCTTGATTGTCTCAATGGACGAGCGGTAGTCGAAGGCTTGTTCTTCCACGGAGAGTAATTTGTACGGCACCAGGTTCGGATGTCTCTTCTTTTTGTCATCTCGCTCCTCACCATACTGCCAGCCTTGCTTGAGACGCTCCAGCGCCCACATATCGTGACAATTGCGAGCCAGAACATCGCCGAGATGTTCAAGATGACCAAGCTCTACCTTGGACGTGTCGACAGGCTTGGGACGGTAATTGTGGCCCTCCTTTTCACGCGACGGCATGTCGATAAGACACTTGCGGAAGCGATACATCACCTGCAGAGCTTCACGTCGCACTTCGGCTTGCGAACACATCGCTTTGCGTTTATCCTTACGCAGGAAGAGATCTAACATGCGGGAGATCTCGTCGAAACGCAGACTGGTACGTCCATCAGCGCGGACACTATCAAAGAGCAGTCCGAGATGATAGTCGTCCACCATGTGATCCTTGGAGTAGTTCCACAACTTGGTAGCACGCAGAAGCCCCATCTTCAGCTCCTGGAACATAACACGACATAAATGCACCGCCAATCTCCTTCTCGGGATCCGTAATTTCTCTCCTCCCATTAGCTCTAACACACGCTCTCTTGGTGCGCCGTCATCGAGGTCGGAATCGTCCCCAAATGAGCCTAACGACGAGATTGAGCGTGGAGGTGCGAAGGCATTTAGCCCACCGTTAACCTTCCCAGGCGCGTTCACTCCAGCTTCTGCCTCATTAGGGCCTAGAACAATGCACTCCACGGACAGCTTTCCATGATGTACAACCTTGAGTGCTAGACCGTCACCAAGAATTGAATCTCCCTGAAGTCGAATTGTGATCCCAATAGGAATCATTTCCTTGATGGTCTTGTGGTCAAAATTTTCGGACAGCCGGATGTGCGACACCAGCTCACGATCGTCCTTACCATTGCCAGATCCTCCATTGCCATTGTGAGCGCTTCCATCGTGGGTCTTGCGGTCTCCAAAATTGATTCTACGGTCGAATTTCATACCGAAACGTAGTAGCGCAACAACACGCCACACTGCACCGCGGAACAGCTTCCTGACACGTTGGCGCGTCTCCTCTTGGTCGACAAGATTCGTCGATATGAGACGAACTTGCTGCCATGGAATGAGACGAATAACTCCGTGGTCCTTAGGCACAACAACCGTCGGGGAACAAGCACTCACGAAGCTGCGGATACGTGCGAGTACATCGTACTCGACGTCTTCTCCACTGGCCGTCTCGTCGTTCTTGGCGACTTCGTAGTACTCAGACAAAATCGCAACAAACATGTTGACCAGGATCTGGAACACCAGCACCACAAAAGTTCCAATAAAGAGCGGAGCAACACGAGGGTTCGCCTGCTGCAGTCGTCCGTAGTCCATCTCTCCAGCCAGCATCTGGAAGCACGTGCCATACGACTTACTGATCGTCGAGTACTCTTCAAGAGCGAAGCCAAAGGCGTAGCTACCCATGGCTGAGTATCCCAAAAAGATGAGGTTGAAGATAACCAGGAAACCCATGAGATCACTCATCGCCATGCCCAACACACGCCAGAGCAAGTTCAACGTCGCGTTCATGCGTAAGAACTTGAATACCTTGAGCAAACTGATAGCAGAGCCCAGTGACGCAAGATCGGATAACTGCTGGAATCCAGTCAACAATTCTTGAGAGCTAGTGTGACTCAGCTCTTCCACTCCTCGACCCTCACGTAGTTCCGCTAGATGCAACGCGAAGGTACTGGAGGCCATATAATAGTGCACCATGTAGCTCAGCAACGCAGCCAGGATCACTAAGTGGGTCAGCTCGAACAGATTCCACATATCCGATCCAAGATACGTCGTCGCACCCATCGTCATCATCTCCGTGGCCTCTCCGATGCAGTAGGTGATGAAGAACAGGACGAGCGCAACCCACAACAGTACACGCACGTCAAAAGCCTCACGTACCAGAGACATGGAGCTACCAACAGCATCGAAGATCCTGCGGTGAAGCTGGGGCTTGGAAGGTATGTCGCCGTTGTCCTCGGTGATCGTAAACTGCTCAGGCTTCTCGTGGCCAATAACTCGAACGTGTGAACTGTGTGCGAAGTGATCGATATGACCGGACGGATCCACTGTGATCACGTGCATTCCAATAGTAAACACGCGGGTAATCGGGTTGAGAAGGATGAACTTGAACGCCGCAGCACGTGTATGTTCGGAGAGAAAATAGTCCAGCCGGAGCTCTTCCACCTCCTCCAGATCGCACAGATCCACAGCGTAACCACCTGTGCCGTACGACGAGACGGGAGCGAAGAACAACCAGTCCACAAAAGACCTGTAGATCTCAGGTGATAGCTCGCCTAGACCATCTCGCCACTTGTACAACCGATCCGTGCCATTCTCTCCAAGCAACGGAGTCTTCTGCTCTACCTCTGGACTGTAAAATGGGTAGCATGGTGCCTCCCAGCCATCGTATACTCGACATCGCAGCTCCTTAACACGCACTTGGCGAAAACCCACGCCGCCAACGCGTACCCATTGTGCTGTTACGTTTTGACGCTCACAGACAGTGTCTCGAAGCTTGCCAGCGAAGTCGTAGATGTCAGCGAAGGTCTTGATCTCACACTCGCCCTCTTCACGACATGTAAGAGCCCCCACCACATCGTTCTGATGGAAACTGTCTTGGACAGGCAGCCATGAGAGCAGCGAGAAGAGCAGCGTTAAGAAAACTACGTAGACTACCAGTTCTTGGTAGAATTGTCGACGCTTGATCTCCTTGTACTCGGATGCGACGCTGACAAGGTCCAATTTCTTCTTCTCCATGTGAATACCGCGATACACGTGCATCGTCTCGGTGGAATCCTTCGTCCACATGGACAGGAAGCCTCTGGCTGCGCGTCTGGAAGTCACAACTTGCTGTGCGACGCCCGCGAACGACGAGTTGCTGCGTTCCAGACCTGGTCTCTTGTCTTCGTCTGCGTCAACGTCTGTACTTTCACTGGCGGTAGAGACCAAGCTCTTGGAGCTGCGTAGATGCGAGCGTACGAGGGACGCCATGTTGCGCAGACTCGGCTGCTTCTTACCGCGTCTGGGAGCCAATATCGCCGTGCTGCGGGGTGGAACCGACACTACATCATCGGCTTCTTCGTCTGATAATGAGCTGGTGCGAAGACTCACGCGGTTTCTGCGTCTGAGCGTGCCTACGACGATCCCCATATTGGCACTAGCGGGGCGAGGGCCACCAGAGTGGCGCCGCTCGCGTCCAGAGCTTGTGTTGCTGCCACTTCCACTTCCACTACGCAGTCTTCTAGGCGGGGCACGTAATGCGGGCTTCGTCTTGGGTTTGAGTGGCGCAGGAGAGTCGGAAGCGGCGGGAACGGCTCCTGTTGAACTGGGAGCGCCATTGCGGAGCTTCTCAGACTCTTCTTTAGCCAGCGACGGCGTAGGAGCTGAAGCGGGGGCGGGAGGTGTTTTTGGTGCGGCTGCAGAATCCTGCGGAGACGCGCCGTTTGCGATGGGAGCCGCGTCGTCCGCGTCCATTGAGAGCAGTTAATGTCTTGCGTGTACGCTTCTTGACTGTGAACAGCAACGACTTCCGCTTGTAGAACTTTCAATGGGATGGATTCAGACGAAAAAACCCATTAAAATTTAATGGGTTTTTTTCGTCTGAATGCCATCCTGGCCAATCAGCATGCGTACCGACGAGTTTTTGGAACTAAGTTATTAGGGCTGTAAATGAATTTTTTCGACCATGGAAATATAGGTTTGACTTACAAAAATCAAAGATAGATTTAAACCTTGATTATCATTCACTCTGGTCGGACATAATCGGGCATTCCCGTAAGCAACAACTGATCTGCAACGCAATGCTATGTTGCTCTAGCGCGCGTCTCAGTTCCTGTTTTGGCACTCGTTCCTGATTAGGTGAGGACGATTCCAGCTGGTGCTGTGTTCGCGCCATCTTGCTCTGCTCCAGGAGGACGAAGATTCACGCTATGAATCTCTCCTGCTTCCTCGACGACCGCTATCACTGTCACGCCTAGCGCACTTTAGGTTTTCCGGTCATGAAGAAGATGAACCCATATGAAGCGGCAGTTACACCAGAAATCGTGACGCTAGCCACATACGGCTCCACGATTCGCCCACGTGCCAACTCGAGCCACAGTCGCACCACCAACAAGGAGCGGAAAAGCTCAGATGCTCCGCTAATACAGGCTAAAGTAAGCTCAACTCCGCGCAACAAGATGACGGTTGTCGGTGCCTCCATGCTGCTCTTCGCGTCAGCCTTCGCGCTGGTTAATATGGCTCGGATCCCCGTTTACGATGTGGATCTAATGAGCACGAACTCAATGCCTGTGGCACCATCGACGGACCCCGCGCCGCCTTCTCAGATCCACGTCGCATTTGCTGAGGAAGTGGAAGTCAAGGGTTATTCAGCTATTAGGACAGTGAATACGGCGGCGCTCGAGATCCGGTTGGGTATGACAATTTCATGGGCGACGAATATGAAGACTAGAACGTCCTCGGTGCGCTACGGATTGTCCAAGGACGACCTGTCGATGGTGCAGCAATCCATGGAACCCTGCGAGCAATACGACTTCTGCTCGTATACGTCGCCGTGGCTGCACCATGTGACCATCCCCGGTGACAAACTCGAGCCTAACACAAATTACTACTGTACGTTGTTGTGAGATGAAATTATGCTGAAGCTTGGGAACTGATAACGTTTGTTTGCTGCCATGTAGACCGATGCGGAGATGAAACTGGAGGGTGGAGCGCCGTGTATTCATTCAAGACGGCTGTACCGGTTGGAAATGAGGCCCCGCAGACATTCGGTGTTATTGGAGATCTCGGGTAAGCAACTGCGGCGTCTAATTCTTCTTCATGCAGCGTTTGCTAACTTATACGCTGCCCGTTTCAGTCAAACCGAGTACTCGCAGCAGACCATTCGTCACCTCAGTAGTTATCACTCCAAGATGAGTGCTATCGTCTGTGCTGGTGATCTGTCGTATGCAGACAGTGAGCAGTACCGATGGGATCGGTGGGGAGAACTCATCGAGCCGCTGATCGCCCGCATGCCTTGGATGATTGCACCGGGCAACCACGAAGTGGAACGTCCTTGTCAATCGGATGTGAGCGAGTTCGTAGCGTATCAGACACGTTTCCGCATGCCGTACGATCGAAAGGACGTTCTTCAGCGTCGCAATTTATACTATGGATTCCGCGTTGGCCTCGTGCATTTCATCATCGTGACGCCATACGTCGACTCAACTCCGACATCGCTGCAGTATGAGTGGGTACAGCAAGAGTTCCAGCGTGTTGACCGTAGCGCCACCCCTTGGCTGGTGGTGATCATGCATGGGCCATGGTATAACAGCAACACAGCGCACCAGGGACTCGAACCGCACATGATCATGAAGAATAATATGGAAGACATTCTGTACCGGAACAAGGTGGACGTCGTGGTCGCAGGACATGTCCACGCCTATGAACGTAGTCATCCTGTTTACAAGGAGAAGGTAGTTGAAGACGGCCCAGTTTTCGTCGTGCTCGGCGACGCCGGTAACCGCGAAGGTCTGGCTCCGACATACTTCGACCCGCAGCCGGAATGGTCGGCTTTCCGCCAGGCAGATTACGGATTCTCGCTACTGAATGTGGTTAACCGCACGCATGCGAGCATGCAGTGGTTCGAGGATCGAGCGGAGGGCGACGCTGTCCTTCGCGACACTGTCAGTCTAACTACGTCCAAGTACCGATCCGGATAAAGATCGAGATTAAAAAGTTACCTCGCAGCAGCAAGATTCTTGTCCGCTACCGCTGAGCTTGTTTTACGGGATGCTTCAATTAGGACTCGTGCAGTGACGAAATTATTAACTATTGAAAAGTACGATATCGAAATATTGTTGCTTGCAAACAAATATATTCTATACTATACTACTATTTGACAGTTTTGTTTTATAGAAGAGCGTTTCCATCAAGTTGTGAAATACCCTTCTTGGTTGGTATATGACCTAACAGCATGCTGAAAAATACTCTTCTCTCAGACTACAACAGTGCTTACAACTTCTCAGTTTCTGAAATACTTATGTATCAACGTGCTAACAATGGTTACTAGGATATGACTACGGTGCCGAACGTGGCACAATATGTATTTGCTGCTGCATTTAACGCTAAAGCAGTGGGCGTGAGACTGTCAATATTGTTATGGGATAGGTTAAGTACCAACTTTTGGAAAAGCAAATCGTTTCTAATCTCGTTTAGAAACAGATGACCGTACGTTTGGAACTTAGTAATTGTATGGTTTAGTTTACTTAAGACAATTTACTGAGCTCCAGTGCCAGCCACGGCATAGGAAAAGAGAACTCAACCGGATGGAGAGCTGGGGACGACACTCACTTTTGCATTTGCCGCTTCGTCTGACGGTTAACTACCCAACTACTGCAACTACGCTCAAGATAACAACAAATATACTTAGCTTGAAAGCAATTAGCTATTGTTCGTGAGGATATGATATAATACCCGTAACATTCCAACCAAGGCTCGTCCGTGAAAATATATAATCGTCTAATCCACCAATTAGATTTCTTATTTAGTCTCATTATATCCAATGACCAAGCTTTGAAAATAATCACCGCATTCCTACCAATCCGACCATATCTAGTTGGAACTTTTCGGAATATGTTCCACTCCTTGCAAATGTTTGTATTAAAAATGCATATTCTAATAATATCAAGAGGTTTCCAACCAAGGTGGCAGTAAGCCGTTGTTTCCAAGAAGCAGCAATTTGCAGAGCTGTGATCATGTCTATCGCTTCTTTGGTGCCAAGTAAAAGTAAGAAGGCCTGAGTGGCGGCGATCAACTCATTCAACATGTTTCTTTACTCTAGATGCAGTTCAACAGCTTATCGACGCTGTCAAGACCGGTAAGGTACTTCAAGTATGTGTACTCTCTAGCTCGATCGACAGACAAAGTCCGATCTACCAATACGCGTCTTGCCTATTTCGGAAACGTAAAGCACTGGTTAATAGATAAGTATCCGCAACAAGGGGGAATAGTAAAGCCGCAGCTACAGAATATCCTGTCTGGGCTTGGTGTGTATTGTACCAACCGAGAGGATGGGGAGTTTGAAAAGAAAGCGCCGCCGTGCGCCAAGCAGAACTTAGAAAATATCGTACGCCTGCTCTATGCTGAGACGATCTATGACGATGCGGTTCTCGTCGTGATGATGTGGTATCTACATGGGCACAGTTCAGGTGCAGAGCAACTCGAAAAGCGGCAGCCCTCAAACCTATCTGCTCTGTTGTAATGCAGTTCTCAATGCATTGAAATATGCTGGACTAACGTATACCTATGTCGTGTACCATTCATTCTTTTTAAAAGGGTTGATACGGCTTTATTGCAGGGTATATCCTTGTTCAAGGATACACCCAGCTTCTTAACGTGTCCGCGATTTGCTTTAGTTGCCGCTCTGATCATGCAAACCGCACCATCAAAACGATTTTTTCCTCGGTTTCTCACATCAAGGCACGTTTGCGGTCAATGTGGGTGACGTTGAGGACCTCAGCCTCGTAGAGAATCTTGAGGTAGGCGTATATGTTAGGTACCACCCAGGCTGACAAAAAGGTGGCACGAGTCTTGAGCGGATGGCATCCGAAGGCGCTCGTCATCCGTCTCTGCGCGTATTGGAGTACCCAGTACTACACGTGCCGAGAAGCTCAAGGCACTGCTGTTCACGAACACACTGGGTTTTGTGAACAATTCTATGAACATTAACGAGGATTTTGCGGAGGTCTTGACGGCAACCCCGAAATGCTGTTGCTGTCATCCAGCAGCTCCATCGTTGCTCGAATACGGGATGTTCTGTAAGCACGGGATATCGGAGAAGCTGGGGTACTTGCATGGAGCGATACGATCCGTCGTGCTTTCACTTCCCAATCAGAGATAAGCAAGCCTGATGGTGTCGACTTCCATTCTGGGGAAGTGCTGAGCCTTGTTAAACGCCATTCCGAGCAAAATTAGAGTCCTAATCCTGCAAAACAAGCGCCTGGAGGAGCGACTATTAGCTGTAGAAGCAAAACTGCACTTACCATTGTACTCGGGATCACCAAACAACCAGATATATACGCCTGGAAGCCAGACTGAAGCGGCGCAGGAATCACAACAGAGTCAGCAAAACTGTGCGTCCAAAGAAGAAGGGCTCACAGTCGCTTTCGGCAGTATGGTACGAGTGGCTCACGGCTGACCCACGTTTATATGCTTCACGGTCTGTTAGAAAGACAACACTGTACGAGTTTAAACACTGCAGGGTATATGATGTTGTTTTTTACCCAGTGGTTTTACGCTAGATACAGCGTCTCCTGTATTCAAAAGTTTTATCTCTGGGCGAGAAAGCACAAATCAGCACGCTGTCCTTCTTGAAGATCCACGGCGGCAACAGCAGGTACGGAGTGGAAAGCAAGCTCCACAAGTCTGGGAAGATCGATGCACACATTGCCAAGTTCCAGGATCGTGTCAAGCGGGTGGAGGGGGAAGTTGTCGATCCTACCCCCACCGTCTGCGCTGCCTCACTTCTTTTGCTTTAATCTCACGCAGAGCTAGCCCTGTAGCAACAGATGCACAGCGCAATAATGTATCGGCGCAGAAGCTTACCAGATCAGCCGCCATGCATAATCACCCAAGATAACACGACTTGATAGAATGGTGTCCCATTTCGCGCTCTAAACCATTAATAATATATTACAAGCCAATCTGCAACAATAAATTAGATGGCGCATAGTTACTCGAGTAATGGCAAAACAATCAGTTATCAATTATCTAAGAATAATCTTGAGTGCGCGGAATACCACCGCTCTGGACTTGTACGCTTCCAGTAGTATACCGTTCGCCCTGCCGGGTCACTTTACATTGTAGGTACGGTCTTGAGAAACGGCAAGAGCGAGAGGAGTAGGCGATGTGTCTTGGGAAGCCGTACAGCGCACGTATGAGTCCGGAGGAGGTTATGTCACCACAGGATAGCCGACGTTCCACTGCCGACTTTGGTGCCGTTGCTGGGGGGATTGTTGTTTGGAGAATGTCTGTCGGACCTGAGTGAGAAGGGATTTTTCATTTTGAATACATTATGTATATTCCCGTGGAACGGTCCGCGGGTGGCCCACTCGTCACGGCTAAGTCCGATTTTAACAGACTTTTTTTAACCGGTGATGGTTGGAATTCCGGTCAAACAGTTGAAATTTTACAGTATGTAGTAGCCTATCATGGGGACTGGAATGAAACCTTACAATATGATACGGCCAGGAATCTGCAGTAATTTCTGCCGCCAGTAGAAAACAGTACTGTAGTACTACTACTATTATTAGTGTATCCAGTAATTTGGCGAGTTCGATTTCTACTATTACTACAGCAATCAGTAGCTCGGTTTGAAGCTCTGATACTACTGTTGTAGTGCTGGTGATATCTAGAGGCAAATCCATCTTGACCACCATTAGGAACTGCAAGCGAAATAGAAGGCAGCTTGCTCACCAATCAGTATGTCTATCCTGTGGATTACCTTTGTCTTCGTCACGCGACTAAAACGGATGTTGCTTGTTGAAGGCGTCACAAGGACCCTCAACCATGGTTGTATTGCTGCTTAGATCAACAGTTGCTCCTTTTCGACTGCTTCTACGGGCTGCTGTCGGTGATCCTTGTGCGCTTACCTCTGTTTTTGATTCAAGCCTCGGTCATTCTGCAGTCTCCTTTGCAACCCTCAGATCGCATCTTCAGCCCACGTAAAACCGTTTTGCCTCTGTAAGCGCACTTTCACCGACTGCAGCAACTTTAAATTGACGGTAATGGATCCGTGCTCGATCTAATCCCGGCCCGATCATCACCTCTGCTCAAACGTTCTGTTCGATCCCGACAACATCACAGCGCGATACGCAAGCGGCAAACATTTAGAATACTTTTTTTTCTCCAAATACTATGCGGTGTAGCGAATCGCAAGTTTGCTAGGGGTTCAGCACTTCTTGGTTAACTGGTGCGTCAAAAATTGTCAAACCTCACTGCCTTCAGTGCCGCGACGTTTGCAAAAGTGCTATTGGCCATAAAATATGACGGTGGCGAAGACTCGCGCTGATTGGATCAAAGTTGTCTTGAGAATGGTGAGGGTACCAGCAAAACGAATTCCCCACACTTCAGTAAATAATACGCTCAGACCGCTACAATGTCAGCGAGTATTCGATTGTGCGTAAAGCAGGGGTGTCTGGCACTAAGGTTAATCTCGCTCAATTAATACAAAATCATATATGCTAGTGATGCATTAACGCCAAAAAGAAAGTTGTGAAACCGAGTATGCAAATACTGATATAGTTGCTATTCACAGAGACACGCTTGGTGGCATGTAAAGACTGATGCATCTTCAAACAAGACTATATGTAAGGGATGGTGACGGATGCTTAGACGGAGATCTCGTAATACACCAACACACTCGAAATTCTCCACTGCTCTTAGGAAATGTCCGCGTTTTGGGCCATGAGCATTATGGTGATCGGGGATGCACGCGATCTTAAGGTAAGATAGAATTTCTATCTTAGTGGGGATGCGTGGAAGGGCTTCATCAAGAACAGATTTGAGTCTTGGAGCACATCTTATTTGAGGTAGTGAGGGATTAAGAAGCATAATCTCCCTAAAGTCTCTGATAGGTTATGTTGGCATCATTTTGACCAATCAGCAGTTAAGAAGAGATTGAAGTCAGCGAAGCGTCGCTAAGACGTCCGTCCACATCAGCTGACGTCGAATGCTAAGAGACATCGAACCGACACCCCGAAGGTAAGGATTAAATTGAATCTCGAGCTAAAGCGTGCTTACAGCGTTTAGCGCTTACCTCGTTTCAACAACTGCGGTTCCTGGAACGAGACATTTTCCAGCTGATACACATCGTTGACCAAGACTTGAACTTTGCCATAGGATCTTGTTGCAATTTTACACTCGCTTACCGGTGAGTTCTCGCTCACCAACGGGCGCGAAGTCATCATTGACATTATTTCCTCATTGTTTCCTTGAGTCAGAGCAACGTATTTCAGGCTAGCGAGGTATAGCCGTTGTTACACCACCCATGGTTGTGTGTTGGAATACTCTAACCTCCGATGGATTAACACATCTGCTTGCAGCTTTGCTAACAATGCGGTTATACGATTGTCTGTCGATATTTTAATCGGCTAAAAGATACCACTCATTGCTAGCGCATAAAGAGTGTAACGAAATTTTAATGTGAAGACCTGCTGTCGCATTCGAGAACAAAAGTCCCGCCCTTATTTGCATTTGATTCTAGCATTTAAATCATTAACATTATATATTATACTGGCCAAAATAGCTCGGAGAATAATTTTGTAACCCTTTTTGTGCCATATATCTAATTACATTAGTCTTATAGGGTTGGCCCAGGGCTGTATTGTCCCGGGCACACTGCGCTGTCACATGACCAGCGTCAAACGATCAAAGTGGCCAGCGAGCAGTCGGGTCAGTCGCGCGACAAGTCTCCAGCTATCGGTCCTATCATCGTATACAAGTGCTAGGAGCACACAAACTATGACATCTTGAGCTTTCCAGTGTCCGTGGGACTCGCTGCCGATAAGATCAGCCCAACAAACTCCGCCATCGCCAAAACCTTGGGTCGCGAGGCGTGACGGTACAAAAAATGACCTTAAAACCCGCGGAAGTAAGACCATTACGGTGAGAATACATTGAGCGAGTGCGATAATTGATGAAAAAACTTGCTTTACTTGGATACGCTAGAGTGCCATTCGTACTCGCATGTCGACAGCTGATCATGGTGAGTCTCACTTCGGGGAGTGAAAGAGGGCATTTTGCTCGATCGCCGTGTATCCATTTGTGCCCAACGAAGTGGGTACATAGTGACAGGAGGGAAAATGCTACATCGATAAATCAAGATTCAGTGTTCCGCTTGGTCAAAACATAAACCTCATGAAGATGCGTCAATCCAAATGGACATCGGGTTCGGGACGGGCAACCTGAAGCAGGATTCCTTATTGGCCGCTTGTGTTTTTGAAGCGATGCAAGGTTTCCACAGAAACCATCCCACAGGAGTGGGGGAGAAATTAATGCAACCAGAAAAACGGTCCTGTATCCGAAAAAAAATGTCCTGCAAGTTAGGAGTATTTGTAGGACCAATTCATGACTTGTAGGACATTTTTTCGGGTGTATTAAGGATATGCTTCCCAATTTGTAATGTCTAGATGAGCGCGATAGCGCTCCAGACCAACTAAGGTGGGCGGGCCCAGCGCCGAGCTCACTAGCTATGAGTTTCTGCTATCCTTTAGAGATTAACACAAGGAACTAGCTTCACTTTGCGCGGGCAAATGGCTGGCTTTATTTGCGGAGTTAGCTCTGCTCACTGCTCGGCAAAATGCGGAATGATCTTATTTATATAAGTGCAGGACCACAGTCTGGTAGATTCTTCCTTGGCCGACTGTTTGATTGTCAAACGCAGGTGGCTGGTGAGAGAAGTCGTTTTGGATCTCAATTCTCATACTAGCGAGCCGCGAGCTGCACTCTCCAGCACATCCTATCTTTATATCGCGAGTGAAGCGAAGCACAACTCACTTTTTTGTTTTAGTGGTACCCTTCTATATAATTAACTCGCCTAAAAATGGTGAATGCACCTAAATTTAGGACATTTTGTAGGACGTAGTTGTAGGACCTTTGTTTTTGGATGCAGGACCATTTTTCTGGTTGCATTAAATCCACTCCTCACTTCGGATGCTGTTTTCTTTTGCGCTCCAGGCACACGCTTGTCCGCAGTGAGACTTGCGTAAGGATCCCCTGTACTTGAAAAACGACGAGCTGCTCCATTCCCATCCCAACCATTAAGTTTCAACGTTCCAACAACAGGAACTTTGTCTTGCGGACGAGTACATCTTCTGGTCGGTTTGTCGTCTGCGGAGTGGGGGTGCGGCACTGGGTAAGTTGGAATCTCTTCCAGGATATTGAGGGAAAACAGAGCCATCTATACTCTGCCTGCTTTCCGCTAAAGCTTCGCTGTATGAAGCGTACTCGACAAATCCTGAAATATACGTCAGGGGTGAGGTAATGAAGCCTCAACGCGAGTGTGGCTACATCCGGTAGCGGCGGGAGAAGAATGCCTTCTAGCGAAGAGAGCAGCTCATGTATGCGTTGGAATTTTTAGCTTCAGCGAAAGCTGGTGAGAAGCTCACTGACATCAAACCAGTGGCGTTTGGCAAAGGATAACACAGAGAGGCACTTTCCGAGAAGGGCTGCACCTTTCAGCAACCGTAGCAGTTTCTATCGACACGGATGCAAGGCCTCACCGCGTCTTGCTCTTCTCATAGATTCTCAGCCCATCTCGTGTAGGCAGCAGTGGTCAAATTAGACATTATCAACAATTGTGATGTCGGTGAATAGGTTTCCAGTGCGAATCATTAAGGTTCGAGTCTTTGGCCAGCTCCTCCTCCGAGTGGTCCGCGAGACGCCAGTGTAGCCCTTGTCAGCGATGCAAAAAGCACTTTTTTTTACTCGCCAGACTCTGTATTGTAGGATAGAAGAGATCGCGTGTCTTGCCCGCCACGACGTCACCGCAGTGTAATTACTCGTCGCTATTGATGACACCTGCTGGAGAGGCGTAGCGACTCACTTCGTGATTTCACGGGATCGTCTTCGCTCTCACTACTGTGAAACCCTTTAATATACTCGTCTACGCTCACATGTAAATTGCTTTGGCAGAACAGGCCCATGTGACTAGGAACACGAGTTTGCAAGCTCAAAAAGAAAGAAAGCGCTTTTGAAATCCGACATTCGAATCTAGCGCACATGTATTTCGCGGTATTATGTGAAATCATTATCTATCTCCCGTTTGGAGCTGTTGGTGAAGTCGCTCACATAAAGAAACGTTAAATAAGTTTTAATCATCCCAGCACTTATACTCGAGAAACAAGGGTCACTTGAATCGTACTTAAAACGGGGATGTTACAAAAAAAAATGCTTGGTGAGTCTTGGAGGGAAATATCAAACGGTTCAATCCGCCATTTCCAAATTCGGGTTAAAACACACAATCGTAAAACTAAAGGACCTTTTTTTAACAAGTCGAGTCTTGTACAAAACAGCTTCGATGTATGAATAACAGTGGTTTTAAAGAATACGTCGTTCTTTCACTTAAGTTCATTTAAGCGCTTTAAGTACAGCTATTTGCTCGACACAGTCACATCCGAAAAGACCACTGTCGTGTGAATATTCCAATGTACTGTAGTAATGAAATACAACAATCGTTTATAGCGGGCAGGCTTGTAGGTGTGGGCAGCATCTAGAATGACGTCGTGGTTATTAGTTATGGTGCACGAACGTGACCCTGAAGGCTAGTAACCTGTGCAAATAGCGCAATCACAGGTAGCCCAACCGGGTCGTACATGGAATCACTTCAGTACTTACTCCATTTTTTTTAGGAGTAGTGCCAAATAGTAGTATCTCCTACACAATCAAATAGCAAAGACCACAAGTTGAGACCTGTTGCTCGCGTCCTGAAGTTATTCCATACTTGAGCTGGTAATTTAGTAGCATCTACACGACCGTGCTCACTGCTCCTTCAAGGTGCTGATGCTGTTCTTTAAATGCATCGGACCGGGCAGAAATCATATCCCGCTGGAATGCCAACAAAGAATCCCCCAGTAGTTGGCCAGGTTGACGGTATTAATCTTCTTGACACCGGCTTCCACTGCCCTAAACGATTTGTGTAATAGGCTCACTGTGTTCCCACTACTTCGGCTTACACGTTAGAGCACGTGTATGAGGAAGCGTAGTTTGCTTAAACTTAGATTAACTATACTTACGTCTCGTAAGTATAGATTTACTTAAATAAGAAAGCAAGAGCCGATTTACCGTAAAATTGAGAACTGTTATTTATGTTTTGGGTTTGGGTTTCCTCCTAAAGTGATGTTCTAAATGAAAGGTAT